ATAATCCAGAAGTTACTCTGCAGTCTGCAGGAACAGTGTTATTGGGCTTTCCCCCTTTGTTGCCTTTGGCAGCTTCATTAGTCAGCAAGCAAGAATCAGGGACAACTCAAGCTTCAGTCTCACAGGACTGACAGGACAAGTGAATACTCCCAACTAATGCGAAACAACCCCTTACGCAATACATGCCAAGAGAAGTCTCAGTCCTTGAGACTGAGGGCCTGATGTACTAAGCCTTTTGGGTCAGTTTCAAGCACAAATCAGACACATCATGCTCATGTGAAATGTATGAAACTGCTGCACAAGCCTGAAGGTGGAGGTTATGGGCCGTGTCCATGGTACAATGAAAAATACACTTCTCCTTCTCATGCTTATGTATTTGAGGCAGGGCCAACTCTAGACTTTTGGGGCCCTAAGCAGGATTTTCTAGGTGCCCTTCTTCTGCCTATGCCCTCTCTCAGACCTATGCCCCTAGACACTGTAAATGATTTAAAAATAAAAGTAGAGAGAATCATTTTTAGAACAAATAATACATTTTAATTTCACAAACTTCAGTAGTGATATAACACAAAGCAGAATTCCAAATAAATAAATAGCTCACTAGCTGATGTACTGTAAATTAGAGACCCCGATTACAATGACTTCCACAAACTGTCTTAATTATGTACATTTATAACTGGCTAATTCATATATTTGTAATGATTAAATGCTCATTTAGGGTTCTAATAAGTTGCAACTTAAATTACAGATAACCTACTCAGCATTCTTAATCCAGGGCTCTGTGTCACAACTGTGTCACAATATTTCTTTTTTTTTTCTAGACAATTCTAAGCTTAGTTTGATCTAATCCTGGATTTTCTGTCTCATGATGGTGAAACACTTTTTATTGCCAACTATTACTGCACTCAGGACAATAAGCACTAACACAGTGGCAGTGGAGACACTGCGTTTCACCATTATAAATGCTTTGCTCTCTACATTTACTTAGATTTATGCTTTGGCACAGTGGAAGTGAAAGTACAAGTGGAGGCAAAGCGTTAGATTACGTAATAACCCAAAAGTTGTCAGGGAGAGCCAGAGCTGGTGTGGAACTTGTTTTCAGACCAGGAGTTACATATTGCAGACCAGTGTGCCTGTGAAACTCTAACTGTATGTCCCCTGCTACACACACACACACATCTAAAGGGTGTACATACACAGTAGAAAATTCCAATGAATGCAGCATTAAGTTTGTTACACTATGATGTTGAATCTAGAGGAATTTTATGCATTTAGTAAAGCGTTGGCATGCTGTAAAACCTTGCAGGTGTTTAACATTACAAAATGCTTTACAGCACGCTGCACGCTCATACAGCACAGCACAGCATTCAGGACAAATTAATATACACACACACACAGATTTCTGATAATTGTGTTCAATCATTCATACCTGTATCAGCTGACTGAGATAAAAAATGTATGAATAAATGAAATACTGGCAGACATTTTTAAACAATGACAGCAAAAAAAAAAACAACCCCAATTCCAAAAAAGTTGCGCTGTGTAAAATGTAAATAAATGTAAATAAAAACAATGCAATGATCTGTAAATCTCATAGAGCCATATTTTATTCACAAAAGAACATAGAACACATATCAGATGTTGAAGTGAGACATTTTACCATTTCAAAAAAAAGAAAAACATTAACTCATTTAGAACTTGATGGCAGCAACGCATCTCAAAGTTGGGACAGGGCCGTGTTTACCATTGTGTAGCATCCCCTCTTCTTTTAACAACAGTCTGTAAATGTCTGGGAGGTGAGGAGACCAATTGCTGGAGTTTTGGGAGAGGAATGTTTTCCCGTTCTTGTCTGATGTAGGATTTTAGCTGCTCAACAGTCCTGGGTCTTCTTTGCCGGATGTTTCGTTTCATGATGCGCCAAATGTTTTCTATTGGTAAAAGGTCTGGATTGCAGGCCAGTTCAGCACCTGGACTCTTCTTCTGCGAAGCCATGCTGTTGTGATGGATGCAGTATGTGGTTTAGCATTGTCTTGCTGAAATATGCAAAGCCTTCCCTGAAAGAGACGCCGTCTGGATGGGAGCATGTGTTGTTCTAAAACCTCTATATACTGTTCAGCATTGATAGTGCCTTTCCAGATGTGTAAGCTGCCCACGCCATAGACACTAATGCAACCCCAGACTATCAGAGATGCAGGCTTTTGAACTGTGTACTGATAACAAGCTGGATGGTCTCGCTCCTCTTGAATCTGCAGGACACAGCTTCCATGGTTTCCAAAAAGAATTTCAAATTTTGATTCATCTGACCACAGAACAGTTTTCCATTTTGCCGCCATCCATTTTAGATGAGCTTTGACCCAGAGAAGACGGAGGTGTTTCTGGATCATGTTGACATATGGTTTCTTCTTTGCATGATACAGCTTTAACTTGCATTTATGGATTGCATGGTGAACTGTGGTCACAGACAATGATTTCTGGAAGTGTTTCTCAGTCCATGCAGTTATTTCCAGTACAGAATCATGCCTATTTTTAATGCAGTGCCGTCTGAGGGCCTGAAGATCACGAGCATCCAATGTATACCATCAGCCTTGTCCCTTGCATACAGGGATTTCTTCAAATTCTCTGAATCTTTTGATATTATGTACTGTAGATGGTGGGATATCCACCATACTAGCTTATCTTATCCCATCTTGAACTAACTTATTCTGTCTTATCTTACCCTAACTGATCTTATTCTATCTTATCTTATACTCACTTATTCTATCTTATCTTACATTAATTTATCCTATCTTATACTAACTTATTCTAACTTAAAATAGCTTCTTATTTTCTCTCTATACTATCTTATGCTAACTTATCTTATTCTATCTTATCTTATACTAACCTATCTTATTCTATCTTAGTAAGAATATCAAAATTGTATATTAGTAGTGCAGAAAAGTAAATCTAAAGATAAAGTAATAAATGGAAAGATAAGAATGAAAGAATAAAATGAAAATTATTTAAAGTTAAATTGAACTGAAAAGCTTATAGTATTCTCAGGTGGTCTCCTATCCAAGTACTAAGCGGTCACATTTAAAAAATAGTTTAAAATAAATAAAACTACTGAGAGTGAAATGGAAATTGTGTCCATGACATGCTTGTCAGTACATTATCTTAATATAATATACTAGAGTCTTCAACTAAATACATCCAAATAAGTGTGAAATCAACAGGTTTGGTCTTAAGCGAACAGATAATGTCCACATAAGTGTGTATGTTCATCTTAATTTTAGCAGCATTACCTTCATTGACTGAACTATAGCTCTGGTTGTTTTAACTACTACTGTGTTTGTGTCCAGAGACATACAGGGGCATTAAGCTCTTGAAATCAGGTCAGGCTTCTTTTTCTATAGTAGGACAACATGAATTCACCACCATACCGTCATATGAACAAAATTTGTGTGTTTGCTGAGAAAATGTACTATATAGGCCGAGAAATAAAATAACACATAGCGAATAGCACAAACACCTTTAAATATTTCTGTATTGGCTCTTTTACAGCACCGAATAAATCTCTATATCACCCTTACAAGATAAACTGGTCTAATTATCTGGTCTACTCTTTTTTAAATGTGTCTCTTTTCAGTGCGTTTCTCACTTTTGGCCACACAACCCTGAGAACGCCCGATCTTGTCTGATCTCTAAGCTAAGCAGGGTTGGGCCTGGTTAGTATTTGGATGGGAGACCATCTTGTTTACACCAGGTTTGTGTAAGTTTATACTTGAGTTTGGGCATAAAGTCTTTAATAAGTCCTTAGTTAACACTAGTTAGTATCAAACTTTCCTTTTACCACCACTAATGCGTAAGTCATGTCTTAACTGGTAATGACTAACTAATGCGTACGTCACTTTAACATGAAGATAACATGTTCAGAACCAATCAGTAAACCTGCTGCCACGGAAACGCGACGGCAGTTGGCTCTGACTTTTCTATGGAAAAAAATATCCAGCCTAGAAGAGAATGTTGTGTACAAGTTAAACTGAATAAAACTAATTATATGTACTCATTGTCTGTTTGCTGTTTTGCTGATATTTCCCTTAGACAACCATATATGCAGCTTTTTAAACAATGGTTTCTGGCTAACCAACACAATAGAAGCCTCAGTTTAGACCAGGGGTGTCAAAGTCAACCAGTAAAAGGGCCATATTAAAAAATCTCATCAAATCTGTTGGCCAGAGAAAAAATGTTTTATTTCATTTTTAATTAATGTTGTGCTGTAACCCAAACTGGCCATTGTTTATTCAAAAACGTCAACAGTAAAATACAGACACTTCTAGTAGACCTCGAAGTATTACATGGACACTTGAAATATTCAAAATTTAAAAGTTCAGAGCTCAGTCTTTTAAACCTACCTATCTGCTTGAACTAGAACACCTGGCGTCCTTTCTTTGCTGCATGTTCATTAAGACTTGGGCTCAATTCCTGAGCTGCTGAGCTGACACTAAGTGTTTTTGTTGGTTGAGTCGAAGCTGAAATGCATTTTGGTGATACGACTGGTGTAGAATTACACAGAACTGTGTAGAATTGAGGTGTAACTGCTGTCCCATACATTGTTGTTGGGGTAGGAGAGTCAGAGCACATTACGTTGCAGTGCATGCTGGGTACTGTTGTGCAGCACAAAGTGAAATGGGCTAATATTAATAGAAAATTAAAATACTGTTGCGGGCTGGATAAGATTGTGTGGCGGGCCTAATCTGGCCCTCGGGCCTTGTGTTTGACACATGGGGTCTGGAGTTTACGGATGTTCAAATAATGCTTAAGAAGTGCTGTTTGTTTCATTCAGTGAAGCACTTTTTAATGTCTGGGATAAATTATTTCTTTCTTTTTTTCCTGTTTCAGTTACTTGTTGTGGTTGTGGAAGAAAATGGTAAGTTATATTTATCAATATATTTAAGGAAACCTTTGTGTTTCTCCTGCTGTTTGTACTGTGTAGCAAGTTCTATATTTATGCCAAATTTGTTTTAGGTCATAGTCAGATTGTCCACCAGGGGATCCCCCTAGACCACCCTAGAACTTGAATCCAGGGAGCAATAACAGAGAAAGCACAGCATGGCCACTAAAGGTAAGGTGTTACTAAATGATTATAGTGATAATTTCAGTTTCAAGTTGTTATTATATTCTTATGATCATATGGCTTCAGATCTGTTCTAGACTATAAGAGAGCTCAGTAAACTGTTTTGAAAGTCATGATATCCAACATTGGTATGTATAGCAAGAAATATGCAGATAAACAACCTTAAGTATTTAATATGATGTGTGAGTGGCCTAAGCTGTTATTTTTCAAGGATGTAGTTCAATCCAGATTTATCAACTCAGTGTAGAACAGTGTAGAATTACTATTACTTGCATCCTTCTTTGGTCTGCTTTGACTTCAGATAGAGAAATTCAACACAGCATAAATCAACACCATTATAATATATATTATAAAATATATTTTTAATAATATATTTTTAATTATTATTTATTAAAATATTGTTTTAAAGATAAATTTAATAATATATATTTTAATACTATATTTTAACCTATTTTTAAACTCACACTTTATTGAAATGAGGGAAAAATTAAATATTGAATAAATTAAAAAATGAAAAAAAATATGATAAATCAAACATAGGCCCTTTGGCTGAGGAGCAGAATCCACGCTTAAAACATTGATGTGATGTGAAAATTTCTTACCTTCACTTTCACAGGGCCAACTTCAACTTACTTTCTCACATTTGTTGCCATTTTGCTGATGAACATATGTGTGGTGGACTCACAAGGACTCCCTGATATTTCAGACATCATCCTACAGGTAAAGGTGGAGTTTTTTTTATTTATTTATTTATTTATTTATTTATTTATTTATTCATTCATCTATTTTACTTTTGCAAAAAAAAAAAATGTTAGATTGTTAATACAAGAGATTAACACAATGTACACAAAATAATTGTTTTTATGTATTTATTTATATATTCAGTTACTTATTTGGTGATTTTATTTAAAATCTCCAGCTAAAAACGTTCACATCTCAAAATTACATTCTAATACTTGGCTTAGAAAGAGAGATAGCACCCAACTTTAAGATTTAAAATTGAAACATCCCCAACTGAAAGCTGCATTCAATAAGAGTTCAGGCGTGAGTGTGATCAGCTGCCCTTTAAAGCTATTTTATAAAATTGATGAATGGATGAAACTGTGCTGCCTTCCAAAAACAACTTTACAGGTTTTATACAGTGGCATATCAAGCATTTAGAGCTCAATGAAAGGGCGCTATTCATTTTAAGAGAAAAGGGGGCAGCCTGTCTCAGTGTGTTTAACTGGGGTGGCCAGAAGGGTCACCTGCCTGGTGAGCTACCTGATATCCTACTAAACACACTGACAGGCCACAGATACACAAGCTTCCTATTCACCAGTTTCTCATTTCAATAATCTGTTCTGCTTCAAATGGTTCAGCAGTTAGATTCTGAGTGCCTGTACAGGTGCAGCTAACTACTGCACGATTTCAGGTGGAGTGGAAAAATCAAATGAGAAGCTGGCGAAGAAGAAGCTAGCTTCAGCTTTGTCGTGGTTGTCATTCCCAGTTGAACGGAATTTTCTCTGTTACCAAATATCGTACATCAAATCAGACATGCCCCAGAAAATAACACCTGAAAAAATTAAATGAAAAAAGGAGAAGCTGCTGCTGTAGGTTGTTTACATTGCCATGGTTACAGACACTGTGCGGCCTTAAGATGCAGACGCTGATCAGACAGAGAACTGAAACTTTTATGGCTTTAATTTTTTTTACTTTTTTCAAATTTGACTGGTTATTGACCATCGGCAACTCACATATCTCTAGAATCATTAAAACTAGATAGAGAAGACAAGATAGACTGCATAGTGTTCTGTTTCTGAATAATAATAATAATAATAATAATAATAATAATAATAATAATAATAAATACACTGTAGTTGAATTAGCTCAGAGGTTTATACTAAGGCCCAATCCCATGTCTCCCCTCGCCCCTACCACTCAGCCCTTAGCCCTTCCATTTTGCGCGTTCATGTCTAGGGGTAGGGTGTCCCGATTCTTGTTGAGATAGAGGGGTAGGGCGAAGTGTTAGGATTACATGGTCCTCCAAACGGAGGTTTTTCAGAGTCACACTCCAAACAGAGTGTTATGAGAAAAAAAGAAAAACTGGCAAGATGGCTGCGCGAGCAAGCAAAGAAACCCACAAATGTGAGAATTTTCTCTGTAAGAAATTACGATAACCACTGTATTATATTAGTTTAATGTCGTTTCAGTGTATTATGGTCCTTTTCTTCATAACAAGCATAAAAACGCTAATAATATGCTGATGTCGGTAGTTAGCTAGCTAAATTTCCTGTTCCACCTTAAATGGTGCAGCAGTTACATTCAAGCGTCAGAGCTACTGCACCATTTAAGGTGGAACAGGAAATTTCGAGATACAGCTGGCCAAGATATAGCTATAGACATAAACTTCAGCTTCATATCATCAAAGAATTAGGGGCAAAGTGAGACTTAAAAACAATTGTCACCCCCCACTGCCACCCCCACCTTTGAAGGCATATCATTCCCTAAATGTAACTAAAGCCCAGCAGTGAGGAGCTGAACTTTATCCTCCTCTGCTATCACTGCAGACTGGCAGGGTCGCCTACAGAGCAGCGCTAGTAGCTGTTAATGAAGTAATATTGAGGTTTGTCCCATTTCATAGGGAAGATTTCCACCACTACAGCTTGTAACTCAGTTTCAAGGGTCAAGGTGACACTCAAGAACAAGGGGTAGGGGTAAAAATAAAAAATGGGATTGGGCCTAAGAATCAAACGACTAAAACACAAAGGCTTGGTTACAGTTTGCTAAAACGTCAGGCCTATGGCTGCGCTTCCCTTATCTCATCTGCAGAGGTCACTGTCTTGAAGTTTCTAAATATCTCTAGCAGCTTTAACACAATTATGTGGATGATATTGTGGTGTTTCACTACTGGCTGCGCTGCCTTTAGAGCTTGCAAGCATGCACGCAAAAAGGGCTATAAGAAGAGGCTCAACACACCCATGACCTGTCGATGCATGCCCTGCAAACATCAGTCACCGCCAGGGTGGCGTTCAGCCTTTAAAACATTGGTGCGCCATTTTGTTATGGTTTCCAGGTTGAACGACATGTTTTGTCAAAACGGTGTGAAACAGTGTGCAGTCGTTTGATGGATGTGTCAGAGGTGTTGCCTAATCAGCAATGATGTTTATATACAAACCCTGCCACATCAAAAGTGCACACAATGATTTCTAATAAAGTCCCATACAAATGTGGCCACTGCAGCTTGGTGAACGCAAGTACTGTAGAGGGTAGAAGACGTGTTTGTCGTATGTATTTTACATTTAAAGTTTAATAGAATAAGCTATAAATTATTTACTTTTAATTTATCGTATGGGTTATTGTAACACTCTCTGTTATGGCAACTGTATAATGTAGCTGTTTACATAATTAGTTTCATTCACGTGTTTATACCCATTTCATCAGGCATTTGAAAATTCTTTGAAAAAGATGCCAAAAATGGCCTTCTCAGCTGCCATAATTGCAATTCTTGCTTAGCACAACAGAGTTCAGCGCACCACCGTTTCCGCTTAAATAAACGCGTTGCAACGTTTTGCCCCGGTTTTCAGTACAAAGTACTATATGTGGTAATTTTACTTTAACATTATGTTCATTTGTCCAATTACTATAATCTCTTCAGATCAGTTCATTATGTATGATAAAGCTGTTTTGTTAGCCAAGTCAGAAATTTGTCATTTAACCCACCTAAAGTGAGCTTCTTTCAAACTGTGTTTAAATAAAGTCGTTGCAGTTCTCGTGGCATCCTGTAGGGGGAGGTTCAAGCCGGTTCAAGCCAGTTTGGAAAAACCGGTTCAAACCAGTTTTGAAAAACTAGAAAATTCTTCATTCGGTCTTTTAGTAAAGCGAGGCTGAAGATAAGACATTTTTTTGTTTACTCTGAAGAACTGGCTTAATTTGAGGTCTTTTTCTGTCAATTATTTCTCCGCTTAGTGAGAAACTGGTGAGTAATGCTTCTTTTTTTCCTCGTGCACTGCTCTCACAGCGGGCATTAGCATGGTGCTAACCTAACTGACAGATGAGTTAGGGTGTACAAACTGTGTTTTTAGAAGGAAAGAGAAAGAAACAGAGAAAAATTAAAATAAGAAATAAATTAGTGAGTGGCAGCAATTTGTTCAAATTTTAATGAATGTTGCTTGAGAAAGCTGAATGCTTGCTACCACAGTGAGAGCTTAAGGGCTAGCCCAGCTAGCTAACCTAGCTAACGCTAAGCTATATAACCTAGTTAGCTTAGCTGGTTCGCATACTTGTTATTCCCCATATAGGAAAAAAATATTTAAAATGTATTTATCAAATATATTTTTGCAATGAATGAAAAAATGTCCACACACACACACACACACACACATATATATATATATATATATATACACAGATCAGGCATAACATTATGACCACCTCCTTGTTTCTACGCTCATTGTCCATTTTATCAGCTCCACTTACTATATAGGTGCACTTTGTAGTTCTACAGTTACAGACTGTAGTCCATCTGTTTCTCTGATACTTTGTTAGCCCCCTTTTACCCTGTTCTTCAGTGGTCAGGACCCCCATGGACCCTCACAGAGCAGGTACTATTTGGCTGGTGGATCATTCTCAGCACTGCAGTAACACTGACGTGGTGGTGGTGTGTTAGTGTGTGCTGTGCTGGTGGATCAGACACAGCAGTGCTGTGGTCAAACAAGGTCATAATGTTATGCCTGATCGGTGTGTGTGTGTGTGTGTGTGTGTGTGTGTTTAATAAAGGTTACAGACACAACTAAATATACATGAACTGAACAAACGGTAACAGTTACTGACTTCTGTGTTTTGCGTTGTGCTTTGCGTTAACCATGTACATATGCAGTAAGACCGCGCTTCCATAAAATGTATTTCAGATGAGCAAGATATTAACCATAAGTGCACAGTGTATCAGTACCTACAACACTTGTTTTTCAGTATTAATTTTTAGCTTAATTGTTAGTCTTCATGAGGTATTTTCACACTGACTGGGTTGCGAATGCTTTTTTTAGCACTGAAATTCACATCCAGTCTGATGTGTTTTTGTTATTAAGAGGCTCAATACCATTTAATGTTTATACCTACAAATCCAAGTATAAGGTGGCTATGACATTATGTGCTCTTATTAGCTTTCCAATTCTTTAACTTCCAGCTGAGCTACACGGATGGAGAACTCAGTCACGTGAGAGAAAAACGAGATGGTAAATATGAATTCCACATTCAATGTAATATTCTATGTAAAAGATTTACAGTGTAATTAGTAGTTAAAATAAAAATGAACATGTTTTCCCCCCATGCAGTGGAGGTGCAACACATCCTTTGTTTTACTTCACTTAAATAACCAAAATCTCATTATCGTTCTCAGCCAGCATAGTGCCGCTGGAATACATCGTGGTGGTGGAGATAAACATATCACAGGTGATTCTGATAGAACAAATCAAATCCTCTCTGGACTCGATCAGTCTTCCATTACAACTAGACAACACTACAGAACTCAGTGGTGTGAACATTACAACAGGTAAGCTTGGTCTACCCAGTGTTAAAGTAGTCTCTGAAATGTGCTTGTGTAAAAATTTCGGCTTGTCGGTATTTTCATTTATTTTTATGCACTGTTCATGGGTTCTTTTTTAAGCAATTCTTTGGTTTCCCACTATGGGAAACAATTATGATTGACCACCAGTGACACTATAAACCCCTTATCCCCTTAAAAAACACTGTGACATTGATGGCAGGCTGGTTATTTTCATCATCACTAGCTCTGCTCCTGCTACTGGATGCTACAATGGCATGTTAGGCTGCTGTACTATGGACCTAAGGGCCACCTGGACAATAGTCTACATGTTTGCTTTACAAATAATAACATACAGAGATACAGAGAACCACAGTGAAGACTTAATGAATTGGGGCCATATTACAGAAACGTCTTAAGTCTGAAATCTTATCTTATCTGTTTAGTCACCATGACAACCTCAGTTAGGACTGAATTTAGGACAGAAGCTATTACAGAACAACAGTTCTTAAGTTCATAATTTTATCCTAACTCAAGATAAGAAAACAGTAACAGTAAGAATACAGAAACATATAAAAACTAGACAAAATTTCCTAAAAATTTTCCTAAGTTTAAGACAACCCCAGAGCGTCTTCTGTTTCAACCGTCTGTTTCTATTGTTTTGTGCAGTGAAAGGCAGCACCGTTTACTATAACTAACATAATGACGCTAGCTACAGTTATCAACACTGAAAACGATGAAAACAGCATTCTAAAACCCAGACACGATCTCCACCGTCCCCTCTTATTACCTTTGTGCATTAATGTTGATAAAAACTCATCAGATAAAATATTACAGTGATGGTGGTGAATAATGAGGAGACAGAGCTGAATGGGTGTCTGTTTATTAGGAGGAGTAACGTTAGCGAGCTTGGCTAAAGCGTTTGGGAAATGGAGACTGAAACTGGAGACAGCGACTCTCTGATAAACAGCACAAAGCGCAGAAACAATATTCTTAACTTTCAGTTTATCACGCTTTAGTTTGACCTTTTTTTTGTACATCAATAAAGATAGTTAGATGCCTTGCTAACAAGCTTGATTACTTTGATTTTTTAATGTGATTACTTTCATTACTTTGATGTTTATGTTTCAGCTGTGCAGGTATGGTCGGTTGCTAGGTAACAGACATGACAGTTGATTGTCAACTTCGATCAAATAAGTTAAGATTTCCTAACTTGAGATAAGAAAAGATGCTGTAAGATAAGACAAGATTCCTAAATCAAGATAAGATTTGCTTCTGTAATACGAACTTGTAAAAAATCTTACCTTGATCTTTCAGATCTTAACTTACGACAAAAAGAAAGGAAGTTTCTGTAATACGGCCCCTGGACTTCATGGCAGCAGATTAAAAAAAACTCTGAATAATAATAATAATAATGAGAAGCATTAAATTTAATTCGGGCTACATACATGTCCTTATCATACTTCAAAGCTGGAATCAAAGCTTTTATTTTGAGCTGAAATGTGTGTGTTTGATTTAAAGGAGCTGTTTATTATTTTTAAAATTATTTTAAAAGTATTGTTTATAATTTTTTTGTTTAGGTTTATTTTAAAATATGTTATTACATTTTATCATCTTCATTTCCCAATGTTTATATTATCTGAAAGGCCCATATAGTTTATTTTTTAAGGTTGAAATAGTTATTGTTAGTATTTCATTAAACATTTTGCTCACTTAATTCATGTTTTGTGTTGGATTAAATTTTCACACTATGAACTTCAAACTTATAGCAAATAAATGTTAACCCCGTATCTTGGTTATTGGCCCAGAGGAACACATATTGGTCGACGCCTAGTCACGAATCACTGGTTTAAAAGTGTAGTTTTGGGGAGTTGATAATTTATGCTGAGCGCCCACTGGTGGATTTAGGAACCATAGCATTGACTTATAAATCTGACACTTACTGCACTTACAGTCATGTGCAAAAGTTTAAACACCCCCCTGGTCAAATGACGTTTTGTTTATTTTCTAAGTAAAAATAAGTTAACATCCTCTACAGGGAACAAACTTCAGTTTCTGCAAGTGCTGAATTTCTGTTTATTTGCTTAGTTTAAAATATTAGAAAAAACAACACAAAATATAAAATAAATTATGGCCTGTGCAAAAGTCACAAAATTCAAAAATAAGCTAATTAAGCAAAATTAAATATCATTTAATTTCCAACCGGATTATATCACATAATAAAAACTATTTGGAAATATCTCAAAATATCACGACAGTAAGAAATGGCTTTCCAACAAACAGGTTTGCCGGCCAAACTTTCAAGAACTGCTGGTATAAAGACATAGTTTGTGTTAATTCGATAAAAGACAGGAACACACACAAAAAGAAAAACTACAGGAAACTAACGTCAACACTGAAAATGACCATTCCTGAGGTTGTTTGGTTAATCCTTAAGTGCTTAGACAGTGTAGGAGAAATCTGGGTAACACTTTATTTGGATGATCCACTGTAGATGCTTTGTAAATGCTCAGTATATCTTTAAGTAAAATTCAACTAAATATCTGTTAAATGCAACTGAACTCTAAATTGAGTGTTATTTGGAGGATCCACTGTAGATGCTTTGTAAATGCTCAGTCTGTTTATATGTAACATCCAACTAAATATATATTAAATGCAACTGAACTACAAGTTCAGTGTGAAAGAGTTTATTAAATCCATCCCTGCTCCTAACCTTAACCTCAAGGCTAAACCTACATCTACTCCTAACCTTAACCCTAGCCACAGTGTTGTTGATAATCAACTGAACATCCCCAGAAAGTTTGTAAATGATTTAAGTATCTGTAGAGCATCTATAGGGGACCATCCAAATAAAGATGATTGCTGTATATGACTGATATGAGGAATAAAGACAAAAGAAGGAATAAAAAAGTTCATATTAAGTGTGTGCTCATAGATTTTTCTATTGTTCCTGTTTTTCAGTTTTTCAGTGAAATTATATTAAATTGTAGTTGAAATCATGTTTAAACTTTATCTGATGTGCTCCTTATGAATTTGGAAACAATAAAAGTGGTATTTTTTAAAGTAACAGTCTGTGAAGTTTTCCCATTCTATCCTAGAGAAGAGCATTACATGATATTTCTAAAGCTTTTTGCCTCGTGTCCCATCAGCAAAATATTATAGTGTGTGTATTCCTGTATTGGCTTCAGTAGTGACTTATGCAGCTTTTAAATTAGTTTGCCATCTGTAACACAACAGCAGAACAATAACTGTTCTGACAGGTAAGAGTTTGTCTTGTCATCAGATACGATGTTCTTAATTAAGTATGCGATTTCTTTTTGTTACAGTCTGCGTTAATGATACTGGATACAACTGCAGATGTGAGAATCAGTATTTCTGGCCATGTGACAAATGTGTACAATATGGACATTGTGATGACATCATCAATGCCACATGCGGATGCCTGGGTGACATGCCCAATGATGGACAGTACTGCCAACCCATCACAGAGCTGACGAGTACGTACAAGCTATACGTGGCGTAAACTGTGTGCTGTGTGTAGATTTGCACATTGCTGTTGTCTTACACTGTTGTTTTATGTGAACCATGTCTAGTCCAGCCTTGTTCAACACCACTGGTACTTCACTGAGAAGTGAAGCTTTTATGGCTTTTAATTTTTTTACTTTTTTCAAATTTGACTGGTTATTGACCATCATCAACTCACATATCTCTAGAATCATTAAAACTAGATAGAGAAGACAAGATAGACTGCATAGAGTTCTGAATAATAATAATAATAATAATCCATCCATCCATCATCTAAACCGCTTATCCTTCTGGGTCACGGTGGGGTGCTGGAGCCTATACCAGCTGTCACTGGGCGGAAGGCAGGATTCACCCTGGACAGATCACCAGTCCATCGCAGGGCATAATAACAATAATAATAATAATCATTATTATTATTATCCTGGGTTCGATTCCCGGCCGGGCGACCAGGGTCATTTCTGTGTGGAGTTTGCATGTTCTCCCCGTGTCTGCGTGGGTTTCCTCCGGGTACTCCGGTTTCCTCCCACGGTCCAAAGACATGCAGCCAGGCCAATTGGACATGCTGAATTGCCCCTAGGTGTGAGTGAGTGTGTGATTGTGTATGTCTGTCTGTCTGCCCTGCGATGGACTGGCGACCTGTCCAGGGTGTATTCTGCCTTCCGCCCAATGACAGCTGGGATAGGCTCCAGCACCCCACCGCGACCCAGAAGGATAAGCGGTTTAGATGATGTATGTATGTATGTATTATTATTATTATTGTTATTATTATTATTATTATTATTAAGTGCACTGTTGTGGAATTAGCTCAGAGGTTTATACTAAGGCCCAATCCCATTTCTCCCCTCGCCCCTACCACTCAGCCATTAGCCCTTCCATTTTGCACGTTCATGTCTAGGGGTAGGGTGTCCCGATTCTTGTTGAGATAGAGGGGTAGGGCGAAGTGTTAGGACTACATGGCCCTCCAAACGGAGGTTTTTCAGAGTCACACTCCAAAAAGAGTGTTATGAGAAAAAAAGACAAACCGGCAAGATGGCTGCATGAGCGAGCAAAGAAACCCACAAATGTGAGTAACGCTATTCTCGTTATTTAGTTTAAGCCCGTTTCAATGTATTATGGTCCTTTTCTTCATAACATTTTACTACAATTTACTAATTGTGTGCTGATGTCTCGGTCGATATCTTGCTAAATTTCCCATTCCACCTTAAATAGTCCAGCAGTTCTGACACCTCAAGCACCAGAATGTATCTGCTGCACCATTTCAGGTGGAACGGGAAAATTTGAACAAGAAGCTGGTAAATAGCTGACTTCAGCTTCATATCACTGAAGAACTGTGGGTGGGTGATAAACAAATATAACATCCTCCCTCTGAAAGCATATGATGCTCTAAATGTAACTAAAGCCCAGCAGTGAGGAGCTGAACTTTACCCTCCTCTGCTGTCACTGCAGACTGGCAGGGTCGCCTACAGAGCGGTAGCCTATTAATGAAGTGATGTTCTTTTTTATTTGAGGGTCCCATTTCATAAGGGATGATTTCTACCACCACCCCTTGTAACTCCTTGAAAGTTCCAAGGGGCAAGGTGAGACTTAAAAACAAGGGGTAGGGGTAAAAATAAGAAATGGGACTGGGTCTTAGTTTGGCTACAGACCCCCTTCAGCTGAGTGAACTGCTAGTTTGTATTTGGAGGAGAGACCAAACCAAAACAATCATAGCCTTCCATTGTGTATGCAGCAAACACTTTACAGTAGTAATAAACTGGACCTAAAGTATCTATGTTCCATTTGTTCTTTGCTCTTGCCTATTGTGCCCTTTCACCCTTTTTGTTTTGGTGCCATAAAGCTGTCATCATACATGTGGTATTGCAAAAAGTGCAGCAAAATGTCACAGTGATGTATGAAAGTCAGTGGAGAGTCAGGATCTTTGTGTTTAAAACTCCAAATCTATCTCAAGTAGTCCAACTAATAGCGGTATTTATTTTAATTCATTTGTTAATTGATTTGGTTTTCAAAACAATCTGGTAAGGATTTTTTTGAGCAGCTTCTAATCTTTCTCATCTTTTTGTTTTATAGATGTCACGTGTCCAATTCCGACAGGTACGTAAGAACATCTTGAGAAAAAGCAACAAATATACAGTGTAGTATGGTAAAATGTTTGTAAATGCCATTGCAGTAATCAATGAAACTATTTATACCCTTTTGCTCTTGTGCTTTTTCTCTTACTTGAATTTTCATGCAGATAAATTCCATAAAAGTTCAAAGGATCTTTGTTTTGTTTGTTGCAGTGACTCCGGCTCCCACTGAATATATGGCTGAGGTTGAGATTGACACAGTGGATGCAGCAGCGCTTAATCAACTGAAAACTCTTCTGAAGAACCTCAGTTTACCCTTCGGAATAAGTGAAGTTCAGATCACTGAACTCAACATCACCACAGGTAACAGTCCTCTCTGTCTTTTATAAAGTACCAGACATCTTTGTAGGTTTTTATTTGTTCAGAAATAGTTTCAGAACTTCTTTAGAAGTTTATCTGTTGACAGTAGTCAAGTCCCCAAAGGTAAAGTGTTTTTACCTACAACACAATTACACTAAACAAAGTATTCTCTTTGCAACATGCTTGTAAAAGTAGAACACATTTTTCCTGAAAGTTATTTTGTGTTTCTTTTACAGAGTGTCTTTTGAATAATACTGGATACCAGTGCAGATGTGAAGATCACTATTTCTGGCCGTGTAACAAGTGCACAGCATACGGACACTGTGATGACATCATTAGTGCTACATGTGGATGCATCAGTGGTTTTCCAAATGATGGACAGTTCTGCCAACCAATGACAGAGCTGAACAGTATGTATTAGCTCTTTCATAAAAAAACATGCGAAGCAAGTTTATTTTATTAGCCTAAAGTGGCTTTTTGTAGTAGGTCAGTGAAGTGGAACAGATTTTTAATTAGACAGTTTACAAAGTACTTGTGGCTGTAGTCACTGGTGATGTAACCTCTAAACGTCTCCGTGACTGCTGGCAATGAGTTATAATGATACGTCTCGCAGTAGCTTCAGCTTCAGGCGTAGTGCTGCATTTGTTTGCCGGCAAATAGAAAATGAATTGTTGGTAAAAGGTATGGAGTCGCAAAAGGACAGACTACAGCTCTTAGCTTTGTCTCGACATACACATTACTCCTCTGACAGGTATTCATGAACCAGGTAATCATATAGTTTACAGTCAGTGAAATGAGACTTTACAGCTTTGATTTCCAGTGCCAATTAAAGTGTTCGGACCTACTGCCTAATTGACTAACGTTAGCTAAGCAAGCAGTCTACAACTACCAACAGTGCCAGCCACCCGAGTACACATTTAATACTGATTAACTGGTGCTCTGCTGAAACATTACATCATAAAATTTTACATTTATGGCATTTTGCAGACACTCTTATCCAGAGCGACTTAGAATTTGATCATTTTCCACAGGTGGACAAAGGAGTCTTGTCCAAGGACTCTTATTGGAATAGAGTAGGGTGCTTACCCAGGCGGGGAATTGACAGACTAAACAGACTAAAGACTCATGAGTGAGACTCACTATTGTCATCTGGATTTGTCAGACCCTAGTGGGCGCTCCCGAGCAAGTCCAAAATGAATAGGTTAATATGGAGCATTTGAGCAAAATTATAGTTTAGTTTTTAAACATTTTTTTACAGAAGAATGCATTAATTATCTGAAAACTAAACAGTATGAAATATTAAATCTTTTAAAAAGATATTGAACTCCAGTAATAGGACTTTAAAACAGCACTTCATGTACGTTCATGACGGCAGTGAGAGCAAACCACTTCACTCAGCCAGCGAGCTGCTCTGCTTGCCAACCAGTCTGGTTGGCCACGCCCCAGAGCCAGGCTGCACTTAAACTGGCTCTGCTACTGTAGTGCTTAGTCTGCCAGCGCTACCTATCGGTGAACTTCAACACCACCAATCAGTGGTGCCTAACCCTAATAGCTGAATCAGTGTCGTAGTATTTTGGTACCTCTTTTGTCCTTGGATCTCCTTAGTTTAGTTTATCCAGTTTTTATATTTAAACATTGGTTGTATGTAATGAATAGTGTACTGCTTGCTGTCTTCTGTCTTCTGCTCAATTCAGTTTTTGACTGTGATGCAGAATGAAATAAATTCACTAAATGTTGCAGATAAAGCTAAGTTCATCCTTGCCAGCACAGCAAGTGGAGTTCACCTCTCAGCAACCTGTCAAATTCATGAGTAAAAATAGTCTGACCTGTTTTAAATAGAACACGCAACAGTGATGAATGAGAGAGAACGAATATTTGGCTTCTGACTTCTGAACTGTGAAGCATAAAGACTTTTTTGGATATAATTAATCATACATTTAACAAATATTTTAGGGCAAAATAGAGATTTTCTAAACATTCTTATCTTTTTGTTTTATAGATATCACATGTCCAACTCCGACAGGTATGTAACAGCATCTTACATATTTCAGTCTATTTTCATGTTATGTTGAATTTTGGGAATATTATTTCAGCTAGTGTAAAAAGAAAGCTACTGTGATTTCTCTCAGTTGACATTTTACATTCTTTGACAAAATACATGTAATTCCAAATAATTAATGTTTGCTTTATTCCCTTCAGTCCCTCCAACTCCTGCTGATTATATGGTTGAGATTGAGATTGACACAGTGGACGCAGCAGTGCTTAATCAGCTGAGAACTCTTCTGAAGAACCTCAGTTTACCCTTCGGACTAAGTGACACTCAGATCACTGAATTCAACATCACTACACGTAATTGTTTATTTGTGTAGCACTGTAGTTTTGTCTCCAGTATGAACGATTTGTCACTAGTTATTGCTACAATATTTTGATCATTTCCTTAGATTATCTCAGGAATTACAAATAACACATTATTATACGTTTGCAGCAAAGATTACAACATGGCTGCAACAAAAAAATGCGTCTTCTGTTAAATTATTTTGTCGTGTTTCTTTTATAGAGTGTCTTTTGAATAATACTGGATACCAGTGCCGGTGTGAGGATCAGTATTTCTGGCCGTGTAACAAGTGTGCAGCATATGGACGCTGTGACAACACCCTTTCTAGCACATGTGGATGCATCAGTGGTTTTCCAGAAGATGGACAGTTCTGCCAAACACTGACAGAGCTGAAAAGTATGTATGACACAAAAATAAGCACACGTGAAGGATGTTTATTGTTTTGTGATTAGACATCATTCACTGGTATCAGTCAAATCTTCTTAAAGTTCTATATGTTCGATTTGGTGAAGGAAAAGTTTGTTCAAGGTGTGTTTATTAGTCACTCAGTTCATCCAGATTTGTTGCTTTAATGCTACTAGATCCTGCTGAATCATTGATAATATGATTAAGCTATACTTTGTATAGTAAACATGGCATAAATGTGTAATTTTAACATAAAATTTTGTTTTGCGTTCAAACATACATGAATTACGTGTAGGTAATGGTCATTGCAGATACTGTTGAGTTTGTCCACATCAGTACTGCAAGTGGAGTTAACTCCGCTACACTGACCCTTCCCTTGTGTCAAGCTTTTTTAAATGCTTATTTCATAATTTTTATAATCATTCTTATCTTTTTGTGTTCCAGATTTCACATGTCCAGTTCCGACAGGTACGTAACAGCACTTGAAGTTTATTAGTCCAGACATATTCTGCAGTATGTTGATTTTTGGAAATGTTATTCAGCTTTAAAATATTATCATCTGGAGCATTTTTAGTTTTGATTTTAATCGAGCAGATTTTCATCTATTTTAATCAGTGTATCAGTTCACATCGGCTGTGCTGCATGCATGTCTTGTCGCTCTCAAAACGCAAGTCTGTTTTTTTTCTCTACTTGAGAGCAAGTGAAGCATGACCTCCATTGAGATCCAATACAATTCCACTCTTTCACTTTCTAAAGTGTTGCAAACTAGATTTAAAATATTACTTTACTGAAATGTGGTGATTTTGTTGGTGTGGTTGTTGCAGAGCAGCTCCTGGTCTGTACTGACAGAGTGTGGAGGAGATTAATCTCTGATACAACAGCAAAAACGTCTGATTTCATCACAATAAATAGATCTGCAGTTTGTGCTTTCAATAGCTCTGTCATGATTATGAAATTTTGGCTGACAAATTGCAATTAACAATGTTTTTTGTTTCATTGTATACAACTATTAGAACAAGCCTAAAGTGGCCAAACAGGGTGATTAGCTATCTTTATTCATAGCTACCAATACTTAGTAGCTCCCAACTGATGACAGAAACAGCTCGAGCACAAATAAGCAAACATTTTTTTGCACTTTGAGGTGAGGTGACATGGAAACCTGGTATAAATATATGTGTGTAGCTAAACCTGATCATTTCACTTTACTTGTCAAAGTTACAGCTTCTTGCTCTTGTGCTTTTTTCAGTTGAGTTTTCATGTTTCATGTAATTCTATATGATTTTAGTTTATTTTGTTCCCTGCAGTCCCTCCAACTCCTGCTGATTATATGGTTGAGATCGAGATTGACACAGTGGACGCAGCCGTGCTTAATCAGCTGAGAACTGTTCTGAAGAACCTCAGTTTACCCTTCGGAATAAGTGACGTTCAGATCACTGAACTCAACGTCACTACAGGTAACTGTCCTCTCTGTCTGTGCCGAGACTCACTGTTGTAAAATGTCACATTGTTGTAAGCTTTACATTATTCAGCAGTTAAGCTAAAAGTCTCTAATATGAATGCTCTTTTTCTTTGTTCCCTGAGTTTTTCGTTAATTTACATAAAATTACACAACAATTTTTTTTGGGGGTATTTTTTTAAAAATTGTAATAAGAGCAAGACATTTAATAGTCCAGTTTTGTTCAATTAAGCTTTTGTGTGTTTCTGTTAATTCACAGTGTGTCTTTTGAATAATACTGGATACCAGTGCCGGTGTGAGGATCAGTATTTCTGGCCGTGTAACAAGTGCGCAGCATATGGACCCTGTGACAACGTTACTAATGTCACATGTGGATGCATCAATGCTTTTCCAAATGATGGACAGTTCTGCAAACCAATGACAGAGCTGACTAGTATGTATGAGTTGTAATAACTAAATAGAAAACATGTGAAAGATGTTTTTTTCAGTTTGTAAATAGCCCACATTTCCAATTATATGTTAGTAGAGTTGGAATTTAACAGCATTTTAATTAAATAGTAGATAAACATCAGAGCTTTTAAATAAACATATATTTTCCCATCATTCTTTTTTGTTTTATAGATATCAGCTGTCCCGTTCCGACAGGTATGTGAACCTGAAGGCAGTCAGTTTTAACCAAATATGTGATGTATTGCTTTCTTTGTAAACGTCATTTCAATTTGCACAGCAATTCACAGCTTCTTGCTCTTGAGTTTTCTGTCTGTTAAATATTTTCTTTTAGTAGTATTCCATAAAAAATCCAAATGATTTTTGTTTGCTTTGTTCCCTGCAGTCCTTCCAACTCCCACTGAATATATGGTTGAGATTGAAATTGACACATTGAATGCAGCAGTGCTTAATCAGCTGAGAACTCTTCTGAAGAGCTTCGGTTTGCCCGTTGTAATAAGTGACGCTCAGATCACTGAACTCAACATCACTACAGGTAACTGTCCTCTCTGTCTGTGCTGAGACTCACTGTTATAAAATGTCACATATGTTTGGAGGCTTTATTTGTTCCACCCTGCTCTTTTGTCTCCATCATGAATAGTTTTTTAGTTATTTAAACAGTATTTTTACTCTTTGCTTTGAATATATTAAAATTCTACCAATAATTTTTTAGATGATTTTTGCAGTGTGTAAAGGATCAGTCAGTGCCGCTGGCTGCCAGCAGAGGGCAACAGTGGCGAGGTGATTGGTGGCTGTTTAGTGCCAATCAGGCACACCTGTGTAGAAGGGTGACCGGTATGGTTATCAGAGTGCAGAAGAGAAGAAAAAAGACAGACAGGTTCAAAACAAAGAATGAGAAGAAACAGGAGCTACAAAAGTAAAGCTAAGAGACAAATAGTTCCTTCTATTAAAGAGGAAAAGAAAAAGAGGGCTAAGAGCAACCTCTGCCCCAAAAGTCCCTGGAGGCTGAGAGGAAACTCAAAACTAATCCTCTGCATGTCTCTATAGAGAGGTTGTTGTAGTCTAGAGAATTTCTTTTGTTTGAACATGGCATTTCGGGGTTTTGTTTCTGCCCTTTCAGTGGTGCAGCGGTAACATCTCGGCCTGCGAAGCATTAGATTGCGAGTTTGATGCCTTCTTGAGGCGACCCTACACCAAAGTGCACAATCATTACACTCTAGTCTGTTCACCTGTAGTTATTATTCAGTCGTTCAACAAATCTTTTCCACTTGATTCAATTAAAACCCAGTGCTGCCTTACAGTCCCATAACACAAAGTTGCTTTATGACTGTAACATAAAACCCATAAGAACAGTTTTGTCCTAAGCAAAGTTATTTTGTTGTGTTTCTTTTACAGCATGTCTTTTGAATAATACTGGATACCAGTGCCGGTGTGAGGATCAGTATTTCTGGCCGTGTAACAAGTGCGCAGCATATGGACCCTGTGACAACATAAATAACGTCACATGTGGATGCATCAATGCTTTTCCAAATGATGGACAGTTCTGCCAACCAATGACAGAGCTGACCAGTAAGAAAAGTCTCTCTTACCTATGATGTTCTGACCCTTATTTTAGCTACATAATTCTGATTAATTTTACTTCATCTAGTTTGATTCTTAGTAATGCAGTCATGCTCCTTTTAGCGCTTAATAATGCTTTAAGCAATTAACATTAAAAATAAGGGGTTCGTTCCAAAATGTGTTACAGACCACTTTCAAGATTTTTATATGTTGACTGCAGTGATCTTTACACATACAAGTAATATCAATACAACATTATGATTAGTACCATCTTTAACAGAGAAATGAATGTGTTTTTCATTATGTCAGCTTTTTTCTGTTTTTTTTTCCACCTCAAAGATTCTTCATGTTTAAAATTGTTACAAATGGATCTACAGCAATTTGGAATGAAACTCCTCAAATGTACTTTATTAAAGATAAGCATTCGACATGAAGGTGTTCAGGGCTTTAATATACTCTTGGGGTAACTTTTGAGTCACTGTCTTCCTTTTGTTTTACAGACATCACTCCATGCCCAACTCCATCACCAACAGGTAAATAACCATTCCTCAAAGTTATCAGTGCTTTCATAGTGTAGTATGTGGAATCGAATGTACAGGTAATTTTAGCTGCACATAAAACTTTTTCATTGTGTTATTTGAATCAGTGGAGATTAGAGGAAGTGTCTGTCTGTCATTCCAACACTAGCTACTCAGCACTTACTGAGATTTCAGTCTTTATCCTCTAAATGTGTGTCAGTAGAGCATCAGTTAGTCAGAACTGTACCTGAGGTGTCATTTAAAGGTGTATGTAGCCAGCTAAGCTAGCGCTTACTACACAAGGAACTGTGTTCTACCCAATGTTGTATGTGTAAAAGAAATTGGACGCAATTTGAGTTTTAAAATTTGAGTATGATTTTTAAAAAATTCAGCTAATGTGTTTTAGCTTATTGCTACAGTTTCCTGTTTTAGCTAAAAGTTTCCTGTCACCACACCGTAATCCTCTCATTAGTGTAACTTGTGTACTGGACCATGGAAGACTCGGTTTTTCCTTTGTGAGGTATAAAAATAATCATATTTGTTGTCCAATAAAATTTCACAAAAGTGTAGAGAAAGTTTGTGTTTTTGATGTAAAAGGGTAAAATGTGTGCAATAGTAACATATTTAAACAATTAACAATTTATGTCATCATAAGTCACTGACAGGCTATGCGTTTTGTGGTTCGTTTTTGGGGCCAGTTAGAGGGGTCTGAGTTTGTCTGCCGTGCTCACGTATGCAAAAGAAACCATGACTCATGGGTCTGACTCAGAGTCCACGTCATATTGATACCATTTAATGCTAAATAATGCTTTTTTCAGTGCCTATATTATATATATTATATTAATATATTGAAATATATTTAATATAGTGCCTATATTATATATATTATAGTAATATATTGAAACAATTAACAATCTATATCATCATAAGTCACTCAAGGGGAGTTTACTATTTATAAACACGTTTTTGAGTATTGAGTGTCTTTAAATATGTTTTAAAAAACCACCAGATCAATTTGCAATCTCATTAGTGCATAATTACTGAGTAAATTAAAGGTAGTTCTTATAGATAAACCTATTGCAGTGACCACACATTCTTTCATATTAACTGCAGAAAGAGAATTATGAGTATTTTTGGTAAATCACCCACACAAATGTCAGAAGTAGATTTCAAGGGGAAAAAACAATGGGCGTCATTCACCAACCATTCTCAAGTAAAAATTTCTTCTTAAAACGTACATACGCAGTTTTTATACAGATTCTGACATTGTTATTTGGAATTTGTTCTTAGGTAAGAACAGAATCTACACACATTTAAGAGCACAAAGGTGCAAGCAAGTCTGCGGTATAAGAACGTTGTGAATCTGACAGACCTTTTCCTAGAACCTTTCTTAAGAGGAAATTTAAGGAAAAAACTTAAAAATGTAAACGGCTGTGTTTACATGCAAAGATTTTTGCCAATCCGATTGAATACAATCCGATTACAGACTCAGACTGAGGTGTTTATATGCACACTCTATTCAACGATTTGATGGAAAATCTTTGTTTACATGCTCACTACAAGTAATCCGACGCAAAATGACGCGCATGCGTGGAGTAGCGTTTAGAGTAAACGTTACCATGACAGCGAACATCACGTGAGGTCCAGTCCGCGTGAGATGAGTTTCCAGTTGGCGCGCTTGTGTTTTAATTGCTTTAAAATGACGTCAGACTCAGGAAAACGTGCTTCACATGTGCTTATACAGGAAGCGGCGAGAGGAAGACGTCGTGTTCTGAGACTCATAAAATGGACGTCCGTCCCACCGCCGTCTTTTAAAGCTCAGAGCATAAACTTCGTCTCCTCTGCAGACCAGTTTCTGCTCCGCCATGCTGAACGGTATAAACTTTCACTATGACGCGACGCACATGCGCAGAACATACTTACACGTTCCGATTAGAATGTAATCGGATTCAGGCGTTTACATGGCTATTATTCTTCTATTTAACGGATTATTTACAGGATTACCCACCTCGTTCAATCGGATAGAAATTGTATTCTGAATGGCCTCAATCGGACTAGACTATTCCGATTGAGGTGTTTACATGGACGTGTTCTATTCCGATTGAGCTATTAGTTGGATTATTAACGGATTATCAGGCTGCATGTAAACGTGGCTAATGTCATTAAAAATATTCAAAAAATTAAAAAATGTTCCACTTTAACATTCAAGGTAGAAGAGTTGGTCTGAGTTGTGATGCCATTTCATTCTAGATAATGCTTTTTTTCAGTGCCTTCCTCTCCAATTGAATATATGATTGAGATTGAGATTGACACATTGGACGCAGCAGTGCTTAATCAGCTGAGAACTGTTCTGAAGAACCTCAGTTTACCCTTCGGAATAAGTGACGTTCAGATCAATGAACTCAACGTCACTACAGGTAACTGTCCTCTCTGTCTGTGCCGAGACTCACTGTTATAAAATGTCACACATCTTTGTAGACTTTGTAGACATGTTTAATCACTTCAGCATTTAGGCCAAAGTCTCTAGTATGTGTGTCTGAATTTTATATCGTTCCTTTTATTTGTCTTTATTGTTCAAGTCTTCTGATAGTTTACCCAGAATGTTTTAATTAAAGAAAAAAATAATTTTTTGTTGGTTTTAAATGTTTTTATACAGTGCCATTGAAAGTTACAGCATAATTGGAACCAGAATATTCAAATTTTATCCTTTAAGTACTTTTGTGTGTTTCTGTTAATTCACAGTGTGTCTTTCGAATAATACTGGATACCAGTGCCGGTGTGAGGATCAGTATTTCTGGCCGTGTAACAAGTGTGCAGCATATGGACCCTGTGACAACGTTAATAACGTCACATGTGGATGCATCAGAGCTGTTCCAGTTGATGGACAGTTCTGCCAACCAATGACAGAGCTGACCAGTAAGAAAAGTTTCTTTCACCTACGATGTTTAGTTCCTTATTTTAGCTACATATTTTAGACTAATTCATCTCCATCTAGTTGGATTTTTGGTGCTGCAATACAATACATATGCAAGAAATAGCAATGCTACATTATGATTAATACCAGCTTCAACAAAGAAATTGTTTGTTTTTTTCTGTTTTTTTCCCCCCATAAAAACTCTTCTTATCTAATATTGTTATGAATGGATTTACAGCGTTTTGGAATGAAACTCCTCAAATGTACTTTATTCGTGATAAGCATTCCACATGAAGGTATTCAGAGCTTAATAATACTTTCGGGGTAACTTTTGATTCACTGTCTTCTTTTTGTTTTACAGACATCACTCCATGCCCAACTCCATCACCAACAGGTAAATATCGAGTTATCAGTGCTTTCATAGTGTAGTATGTGGAATCGAATGTAAACACAATTTCAGCAAGTAACTTTTTCATTGTGTTATTTAAATTAGTGGAGATACCAGAGAAACTGTCTTTATCATTCCAACTCTAGCTACTCAGCACTTACTGAGATTTCAGTCTTTATCTTCTAAACGTGTGTCAGTAGAGCATCAGCTAGTCAAAACTGAACCTGACTTGTTATTTAAAGGTGTATGTAGCCAGCTAAGCTAGCGCTTGCTACACAAGGAACTCTGTTCCACTTAAAGCTGTATGTGTAAAAGATATTTGACAGAATTTGAGTTTCAAAATGCGGGTACGATTTTTAAAAAATTCAGCTAATGACTGAATGATTCTGACATTCACCAGTGTTTTCTTATTTGGGATTTGTTCTTAGGGAAGAATAGAATCTACACACACTCAAGAACACAAAGGTTCCAGCAGTTCTGCCTTTTAAGAACACATTGTGAATCTGACAGACCTTTTCTTATGACCTTTCTCAAGGAGAAATTTAAGGGAAGAAACTTAGGATTAGGAAGATATTGGTGAATGAGTCCCAGTGTCATGAAACAATTTTCAAAACTTTTAAAATGTGCCACTTTATTATTCAAGGTAGTAGAGTTGATCTGAGTTGTGATGCTATTTAATTCTAAATAATGATTTTTCAGTGCCTTCATCTCCCTCTGAGTATATGATTGAGATGGAGATTGACACGGTGGATGCAGCACTTGTTAATGAACTGAGAACTCTTCTGAAGAGCTTCAGTTTACCCTACATAATAAGTGACGTTCAGATCAATGAACTCAACATCACTACAGGTAACAGTCCTCTCTGTCTGTGCTGAGACTCACTGTTATAAAATGTCACACATCTATGTAGACTTTTGTAGACATGTTTAATCACTTCAGCATTTAGGCCTAAGTCTCCAGTATGTATGTCTGAATTTTTTATTTTTCCTTTTATTTGTCTTTTAAAACATTTTTTGTTGGTTTTAAATGTTTTTATACAGTGCCATTGAAAGTTACAGCGTAATTGGAACCAGATTATTCCAGTTTCATCCACTACTTTAAGTACTTTTGTGTGTTTCTGTTAATTCACAGTGTGTCTTTCGAATAATACTGGATACCAGTGCCGGTGTGAGGATCAGTATTTCTGGCCGTGTAACAAGTGTGCAGCATATGGACCCTGTGACAGCGTTAATAATATCACATGTGGATGCATCAATGCTTTTCCAAATGATGGACAGTTCTGCCAACCAATGACAGAGCTGACCAGTAAGAAAAGTTTCTTTCATCTACGATGTTCAGTTCCTAATTTTAGCTACATATTTTGGATGAATTCATCTCCATCTAGTTGGATTTTTTCATACTGCAATACAATACATATACTACAAATAGCAACGCTACATTTCGATTAATACCATTTTTAATAGAGAAATAAATATGTGGTTTTCATTATGTCAGTTTTTTTCTGTTTTTTCCCCATAAAGACTCTTCATATCTAAAATTGTTACAAATGGATTTACAGCCATTTGGAATGAAACTCCTTAAATGTACTTTATTCATGACAAGCATTCCACATGAAGGTTTTTAGGGCTTAAATATACTTTTTGGGTAAATTTTGATTCACTGTCTTCCTTTTGTTTTACAGACATCACTCCATGCCCAACTCCATCACCAACAGGTAAATAACCATTCCTCAGAGTTATCAGTGCTTTCATAGTGTAGTATGTGGAATCGAATGTAAAGATAATTTTAGCTGCACATTGTGTTCTTTGAATCAGTGGAGATTAGAGGAAGTGTCTGTCTGTCATTCCAACACTAGCTACTCAGCACTTACTGAGATTTCAGTCTTTATCCTCTAAACGTTTGTCAGTAGAGCATCAGTTAGTCAGAACTGATGCTGTACTGACACACCTTTAGAGGATAAAGGAGGGGAAGTAGGTGACAATCAGAAGGCTGGGGAAGAAGGGGAAGGAGGTCTAGGGTCAGGGGAGACCCCAGGGGTAAGGTGAGGTTGTTCGAACAATACAGATAAAACACCAAAAGGCACACAACTGTCAATACAGCCGACACAACAAAAGGACAACATATGTTAAAGCATAGAAGTAAGCAAACATGAAAGGAGCTATACTTTCTTTCACTGTATTAGCTAAATTTTCCTGTCACCACACCGTAATCCTCTCATTAGCATAATTTTGTGTATTGTACCATGAAAGCCTCGGTCTCACTTGTGAGGTATAAAAATAATCTCATATTTGTTGTCTCACAAATGTTTAACGAAAGTATGAATAAATTTGCGTTTTCGATGTAAAAGTGTGAAATGTGCGCAAGAGTAACACATTTGAACGGATAACAATCTATATCATCATAAGTCACTCAAGGGGAGTTCACTATTTAAAAACACATTTTTGAGTATTAAGTGTCTTTAAATATTTATTAAAAAAAACACCAGATCAAATTGCAGTCTCATTAGTGCTTACTTTCTGAGTAAAATAAAAGTTGTTCTTATAGATAAACCTATTGCAGTGACCACACATTCTTTCATATTAACTGCAGAAAGAGAATTATGAGTATTTTTGGTAAATCACCCACACAAATGTCAGAAGTAGATTTCAAGGGGAAAAAACAATGGGCCTCATTCACCAACCATTATTAAGTACAGATTTCTTCTTAAAACCTTCGTACGCAGTTTTTATACAGATTCTGACATTCACCATTGTTTTCTTATTTGGAATTTGTTCTTAGGTAAGAACAGAATCTACACACACTCAAGAGCACAGAGGTGGCAGCAATTCTGCATTTTAAGAACACATTGTGAATCTGACAGACCTTTTCTTATGACCTTTCTTAAGAAGAAATTTAAGGGAAAAAACTTAGGATTAGGAAGATATTGGTGAATGAGTCCCAGTGTCATGAAAAAAATTTCAAAACTTTTAAAATGTTCTACTTTATTATTCAAGGTAGGAGAGTTGGTCCGAGTTGTGATGCTATTTAATTCTAAATAATGATTTTTCAGTGCCTTCATCTCCCGCTGAGTATATGATTGAGATGGAGATTGACACGGTGGATGCAGCACTTGTTAATGAACTGAGAACTGTTCTGAAGAACCTCAGTTTACCCTTCGGAATAAGTGACGTTCAGATCAATGAACTCAACATCACTACAGGTAACTGTCCTCTCTGTCTGTGCCGAGACTCACTGTTATAAAATGTCACACATCTTTGTAGACTTTGTAGACGTGTTTAATCACTTCAGCATTTAGGCCAAAGTCTCTAGTATGTATGTCTGAATTTTATAATTTCCTTTTATTGTCTTTATTGCTCAAGTCTTCTGATAGTTTACCCAGAATGTTTTAATTAAAGACATTTTTTTTTTGTTGGTTTTAAATGTTTTTATACAGTGCCATTGAAAGTTACAGCATAATTGGAACCAGAATATTCAAATTTTATCTTTTCCTTTAAGCACTTTTGTGTGTTTCTGTTTATTCACAGTGTGTCTTTTGAATAATACTCAATACCAGTGCCGGTGTGAGGATCAGTATTTCTGGCCGTGTGACAAATGCGCAGCATATGGACCCTGTGACAACGTTAATAATGTCACATGTGGATGCATCAGAGCTGTTCCAAATGATGGACAGTTCTGCCAACCAATGACAGAGCTGACCAGTAAGACAAGCTTTACCTATGGTGTCCAAACCCCTATCTTACCCACGTTTTAGAGTAATTCTGCTCCATCCAGTTGGAGTCTTGATAATGCAATCATGGTCCTTCTTCATTTTACTTTGCATCCAGTAATAAATATTACATGTAATTTATTAAGTATAAACATGCCACATGATGGTATTCAGGGGTTAAAGATACTTTGTTCCAAAACTTTTGTTCCACTTTCCACAGCTTTTTTTTCTTAAAGTATGTTGGGAGGAGCGGGCTCTACGCATACAAGAAATATCACCACTACATTATGATTACCATTTTAATAGAGAAATATTATGTGTCAGCTGTTTTTTTGTTGCTTTAATTTTTTTCCTTAAAATTCTTTATGTCTAAAATCATTACAGATGGATTTACAGCATGTTGGAACAAAACTTCAAATGTACTTTGTTCATGATATGCCATCCACAGAACAGTATTCAGGGCTTAAAGATACTTTTAGGTTTATTTTTTTGAATAACTGTCTTATTTTTGTTTTACAGACTTTACAGCATGCCCAATTCCATCTCCAACAGGTAAATAGCAATTACTTTTATATCTCAGGAACTGAGTTACCAGTGGTTTCTGTGATCAACCATGCTTTTATTTGGGAATCCCAAAAAACAATTAACTACAATATATGTAATGAATAATCCAAACACACATCCTGACTAATATGGGATTTTTTAGATTATCTCAGAAATATGATTTGTTTAGAAAGGTGTTGAATTCAATCTGAAAATTTTGAAGCCTTCCAATTTCTGCCCTTGCATTCATATCACTGATAAGGCTGGCTAATTTGAATACTCGACTGTGTGTTTCTTGCAGTGGTATTCATTGCTCTTTTTCAGGATTCAGAAGGTTGGATCTTTTTAAGCTACAAAAATGGTAGCCTTAAATACAATAAACTTCATCAGCAAAAAAACTAAACATTGAGCAGTTTTTCTTAATGTATGGAAGCTGTTAAAATAGATCACTTATAGCTGAATAAGCTGAATTCATGTAAGTCATCCCTGTCACTAAACCTCATTGCTCAACAAACTGCACAGATTTCCACATGGCTACTAAGCTAAAAGAACATAGATGCCTGAGGAATCGTGTGGCAGCACGAGTGCCAGCTCTACTTAATAGGCGACATGAGCAGTTGCGTAGGGCGGTGCAGTCTCCAGGGACTCTCTAACAACTTCAGGGTTTACTACTGTACCATTATGTTCTCTAAGATACTAAAGTGAGGAGAAAAAAGCAACTGGATGATCAAAAAATAGAACATAGGCATCTGAAGCAGAAAAACAGGAAAGAAAAAGAGAAGATGAGGAGAAAAAGCATTAAGATAAAGGATTCAGTAAAGATAAAGCAGAGTCAGTCACACTAAAGAACTAAACAACTTAACAGAGACTTCACGAAGAGTAGCTGCAAACACAGGTGTGTGTGTGTGTGTGTATATGTGAGAGGTAACAAGTGCAGAAGTGGCTGCAGGGGGGCTGGAGCTGGAAAAGAAAAACAAACACTTAAATACAGTATCACTATCAGCCATACAGAATAACGATATCATAAAGCAGTTTCTGACACACAAGCACACTACTGAGTGATGCTTACATCCCAGCACTACATGAAGCTTAACTGAAGCTTGCAACATGTCAGTGCTGTGGAATTAGTAAAGATATTCATTGCAAAATGCAGTGCCAGTATTTCAAGTGGTGGCATCCAGCAAGGATTTCAATACATTAAATGTTAATTAAAAAGATAAATTATACCCAACTTTTAATTAAAAAGATAAATTATACCCAAAAGCATAATTTCGTTTATTAAAAGGGAAAAAAACTTTTGCAACACCTGACATGCCACCTTTAGCTGCAACAACTGAAGCCAAACGCCTAAAAGTGGAGATCAGTTCATATTAGTTTGGAGGAATTTTGGCCCACTCTTCTTTGCAAAATTACCTGATGTCAGCCGTATTCTGCCCCAGTGTCTCAGTGGGGTTCAAGTCAAGCCACTCCACAACCTTAATTTAGTTTCCGTTGAGTCACTCAGGGTGGACTTTCTCTTATACAAGTGCAAAGTGAAAGAAAATCTTACGTGCGTAGCCCCCTTGTAGAATGTAAATAACTCACTGGTCAGTCATATAGGCTGGACTTTCCCTACACAAATGCTAGTGCATTCGGTTTAAAGTTAAAATTTCCTGTTACCTTAAGAAATCTGTTACCGAGACTATGAAAAAAACACTTGCACTGTGCCTGTTGTATTATCCACGCATAAGTAGTTGTAGTCTGTAAAACAGTGGACAGCCCTCATCCTGTTCACAGAGCATGTACCAGTCTGTATCCTCTAGGCCATTCTGCAGAATCTCCTCAGCCTCTTTTGTCCACCTGGTGGTAAGAGTGAGTTGGTGACCTGTGGGTCTGTAGGTGAAGAAAAGATCTGCTTGTGTGAAACATTCCACATACCAAGAAATATTTGTGTGGAAGAAAGAGATATGTGATTGAAACCTCTGGAAATTACCATAAATGTCTTGGAATGATCCATTGGAAGTTTACTAACTACTGAATATATCTGATTGTGGTTTACTAAAACTCTATCCGGCTTTTATGTGGCAACATCTTAAAGCAGGTGAGGTTCTTATTCACTTTATTGCTGGATGTGCTTCCAGGCAATGCTGGTGTGGACAGCTGAAAAGTAGATGAACAAACAGGCAGAAAGAGAAGCTAGTTTAAAGGCGCAGTTATGCTTGATAGGTTAGATTTCTTCTGGTAAGTTTATCTCTGGCTCAAACACAGAGAGAACATAGGGAAACAGTTTTTATAAATGCTGTGCAGATGGGACAAACCACATAAAACTTGTGATTGGTCAAGGTGCTACTTAGTATGCAGACTGCCCAGTTTATATTGAAAGCAGAGAATTTTGGCAGAATCCTTCAACCATTTAATGGACATTGGGAAGTTATTCACGGGACATACATGTATATAAAGTCCCCACAAGAGCAAGATGAACTTGCTTAACAAAAAGATTTTGGTTCTCTAAGGCTTTAACACTTTTGTGTCCTGGGTTGCCTCTATTTATGTTCGGCTAACACATTACAACTTGCATATTTGTTGTGGGGAAATATATTTTGTTCGCGACATACAACATATTGTCCAATTCTCGTACGTAGAAAGAGCAAGAAATCCTAATTTATTTGAACAAAATTATCAACAGATGTTTACACACAAGAGCTTGTACCCCAGGCCCACACAATGTTCTACCAATAAGATTACAATTATATAAGTAATGCTTAACTGCTGTTTAACTAAAGACAAAGGCATATGCACAGTAAGCCGGTATAGCTGGGCCTATACTATTTTTCTTTTGTGTTTTCTTAATGAACTCTGTGCTTCCTAAAAAACGTTTTGTTTGATGTGTACTTTTGTTGCAACATCTTATAGTTCTGTTGTTTCTACCACAGGGACCAGTACTCTAAGTACTAGCACAGGGACCACTGCTCCAGACATGTCCACAGGGACCACTGCCCCAAATACTACTGCAGGGTCCACTGCTCCAAATACTACCACAGGGACCACTGCCCCATATACTACCCCAGGGACCACTGCTCCAAACATGACCACAAGGACTACTGTTCCAGATATGACCACAGGGACCACTGCCCCAGATACTACCACAGGGACCACTGCTCTAGATACTACCGAAGTGACCACTGCTCCAGACATGACCGCTGGGTCCACTGCTCCAGACACGACCACAGGGACCACTGCTCCAGATACTACCAAAGTGACCACTGCTCCAGATACTACCACTGTGCCCACTGCTCCAGACACGACCACAGAAACCACTGCTCTAAAGACTACCACAAGGATCAGTGCTCCAGTTCCAACCACAGGGGTCATTGTTCCAGTTCCAACCACAGAGGTCATTGTTCCAGTTCCAACCACAGGGGTCATTGTTCCAGTTCCAACCACAGGGGTCATTGTTCCAGTTCCAACCACAGAGGTCATTGTTCCAGTTCCAACTGCACCAGCAGGTATGATTTAAAATGTTTCCTGTCCTTTCTTTACTGATTATTAAATGTAATTGTGTAAAACTATATAACTGAACCTAAACAAACGGAGACTTTCTCTGTTCAATCATGAATTTGTGCACAATTATTAACATTGCCTTCAAACAAAATTACTCAAAGCCAAAGTTAATTGTTTTGGTTCTCCTTTTGGGCATCGTTTTCACAGATATCTGAGCTTGAACTCTTGATATGGTGAAAGTAAAAGAAAATGTCTTCTTCCCTTTTTATTTGATGAATATCAAGGTTCAGATTCTGCTTATTCCACTTGTTCTTTTCAGTATTAAGCTTTGATTTACGGTGATTGTAATGAAAAGGCAAGAGATATTGGAACAAATGTCTAAAAAAAACTCTCAAAACATAGCTAGCGTCTTTTTGATCATGGTAATGCTGCATACAAAAGATTATATATATCCATGTCAGCTACGTTTATGGTATCACTTAGAGTTTTGTTTGACATCAGTCAACATCTCAGTCCATAACCATGCAGATGAAATAGGCACTTATCAGCTGATTAGATAAACTACCAAGCTGTATGGCATTGTATGTAGAACATTTTTAAGTTACTTGATGATGCGTCTGCTTGTGAGCATGTACAATATTTCATTATCCGCTTGTTAAGATGTGACGTATTGACCTGCCAATACGTCATGTCCAAGTCCAAGCCTCTGTTGTATTGGCTGAGACTCTTGTCTTTACAACATGCTGCAGTGTTGTGTCCCATGCTGTTTCAAAAGATTTGAGTCCCAAAAACTACTCATTCTACCGCTTTCCTTTTGATGAGAAAGAGGAGAGGAAATGTTTGCAGTTGATAATGACTTTATTGTATTGTAATGTGTTAGCTGGACCATCAACACAGACGTTAACTACAACTATCCTTCCCAAGCATTAGAATGACAATTGAGTATTTTTTTGGACTCTGATTTATTCAGACAATAAGGGATAAAGCGCTGCCACATGCTGAAAAGATAAGAGCCTCAGCCAGCGCAGTAGAGACTTGGACCCGGACTTCAGAAAGTCAATACGTCACATATTAACAACCGAATTGAAGGTTGAAAAATTCAGGCCTTTTTAACTCTTAATGGGGCCTCACTAAAGAATTAAGCGATTGTGAAAAGGTTCACAGGTTCCACCATTGTTGTTTGTTTTTGGGATATGAAGGAACTTTTGGACCTGGAAATGGCCATTACGTTATGCATGGTGTCAGACTTAACAAGCAAATTTTAATATTAACCCCCTTGGGTCGAAGGGCATTTTTTTTTATTTACATTTGCCTATCTTCTTGAGTTTGCCTTTAAAGGCACTTGCATATAACATGATACCCATATATTTTATATTAAAATGTTCTGTTGTCTTCAGCGCTACTTTCTACAACCGCTGCCGCAACATTAGCAGCTGTAAACTTTTTTTTAACACAATTTCACGTGTCTCCAAAGTCGACTGAATGAAGAATAAAGACTTGCCGACACGGTGGGTAATTCCTTAGTGATGCATTGCATGCACAGTCCGTGTGACTCAAGGAGAGTCACTGTTGCCAGAATGCTGAACTTGTAGCTGTTGGTTCATCACCATTGTTGTAATTGTTTACATCCCGCCAGCAGCGCCACGTCATATTCTCGGCTATCGCGAGATGCTGACTCAACAGCCAAACTCTTTTATTGAGATCTCTGGGAATTTTACTTATGTTTCTCTGTCCACCACTTTACCAAAGTTCCAGCAGTTTGTTAAATATGCAACAATCTTCTGTGTGCAAATGTTAAGGATGCTTACAGTTCATCTACCCTTCCTCCACTGGGAAGATTGGACCACAACCTGGTTCTACTGACTCCCACATACTGGCCTGTGGTCTTAAGACAACCGGTGACAAAGAAGACAATCAGGAGTTGGTCACCAGAGGCAGAAGAGGCTCTGCAGGTCTGCTTTGAGACCACAGACTGGGAGGTGTTGTGTGAATCAGCTGGTGGAGACATTAACAAGATGCATCACCCATTATGTCAATTTCTGCATGGACACCATTGTTCCTGCCTGGTGGATGTGTTGTTTTCCCAGCAACAAACCATGGATCACCAAGGACCTGAAGCAATTGCTGAGCAAGAAGAAGTAGGCTTTTAGACTCAGTGATAAAGAATTACTTAGGAGCATGCAGAGAGAGCTGGAGGTGAGACTGAGGGGCAATAAGGGGGCATACAGAAGTAAGCTGGAAGGAAGACCAGCAAAAAAAAAAATGCAAAGGAAGTATGGACAGGTATGAAGATCATGACTGGCTTCAAGACTAAGCAACAAACTGTGGGGAGCAATTTGGACACAGTCAACGGGCTGAATGTTCAGCACGACCCCATCCCCCTCCGTCAGCAATGGCACCCCCCACACCCTCACCACCTCCACCTCTCCCAAACCCCTATTCACACCACCCACCCCATAGCCATTGCCTGAAGACTTGCACCCCCATCATAGAGGTGACACCCAGCCAGGTAAAGAGACAGCTAAAGAAGCTGAAGTTCGGTAAAGCTGCTGAACCGGAGTCATCTCCGGTTCCGAAGTCATCTATCTCCTCTTTCAATGACTACAGACCAGTGGCCCTTACATCCCACATTATGAAGGTGCTGGAGAGACTAGTGTCGTCACAACTCAGACCTCAGGTCAGCCCTTTCCTGGACCCCCTGCAGTTTGCTGATCAACAGCAGGTTGGCATGGACGATGCTGTTATTTATCTACTGCAGAAGGCGCATTCCCAATTGGATCAGAACAAACACCATAGTGAGAACCATCTTCTTTGACTTTCTGAAGTGCATTCAATACCATCCAACCTCTCATGCTGGGGGGAGAAGATGGATAAAATGCAGGTGGACAAGTCCATGACTGCCTGTGTCTTGGACTACCTGTCTGGAAGACCCCAGTATTTGCAGCTGGGAACCTGCCAGTCAGATCATCTGGTCAGTAGCATTAGAGCACCACAGGGGACTGTGCTCTCTCCACTCAGAGCTGGTACAAAAAGCAGTGCGCTATTCAGAAAACAGGCACCATGCAGCAAAATACAATACAGTTGAAGTACTAAGGAGCCAAATCTTTCACACTCACAAGGCTTGTCATATGCTGGAAATAATCATCTCTTGTAACCAAGCTGGACAGGCAGAGAAATCAATTACTTTGCTTAATGAAATATAATTTCTAAAACAGCACATTGCATTTGTTTACCCTCAGCAGTTTTCTGCTTTTGAAATTGTTTCAAGCCTAAAGATCTACTATAAAATGTGTATGATGCAAGTTAATTAACACTGCATGTTTCAGTCATTTCTGGTTTTATAAAATTATTGATTATTTTAACAGTTTTCAAATATTTTATAATTGAATGTGTATCATTTTCATTAAATAATTTGGAGTTTAGTTTTGGGTATTACTGTTTGTGATATGGTTTTAGGGTAGTAAATTTAGTTGCTGGATTACTGTAGCCTGCACTCTATTTTACACCATAATATGGGTATGTAGTAGAATAGCAGTGTTTTATACTGTAGTATAATAAGTGTAGTATAGTGGTGCAGTATAGTAGTATTTGTGCACAGTGGGCTCGTCTAGAGGCAGGGCTCCCAAATCACACTTGTGATTGGTCTGTCTGTTGGCACTGGCAGACATAGTGTCATTGGTGCCTCCGTGGTCGGTCGTTTTCTGTAGTGAGATACTGAAGGCTTGATGAAAGAGAACAATATTTTAGATGTCCTTGAATTTGAGTGTCAACATTCTTCTGTCCTCCTTCTTTGATTTCACTCTAATTTCACTTTAAATCCTTTTTTTCCTTTTTAGAATACACTATAACTTTATCGCTGACCATAGATGAAACGTTTGACAACTCACTCACGGTCAAAAGCAGTCCAAAGTACCAAAAGTACAGCACAGACATCACAAGTTCAGTAAGTATGGCATATATTTATATGCCATCTAAATATATGCCATATGCCGTCATCAACACGTCTATCAAGTCCCAACTGTTAGTAATAGTGAAAGTCTTTTTCAGGTTGACAGTGCTTACAGTGCCAAACTTTCTTCATACAAAGCTGGTTCTGCGAAGGTTATTCAGTTCAGGTAAGACTGTTCATATTTACATAACAAAGTTTAACCATCATGAATAGGTTTACTAGAGGTCTAATTTCTAAGATATTTTTTGCCCCAATAACCAAGAAAGATTTTACTCTAGCTTACTGAATTTTACTACACACACAAAAAAGTATTAAGAAAGGTCAAAAGTCAATGAATTAGTTAGTGAATCAGTCACTGTTAATTACAACCAATACAATTGTGGATTTGGAAACCATAGATAAAACTGAACATTTCTAAATATGCACCATGTTTTGATTTGAATCAAACGTATGGTTTTGATCACACAGTTGTTCTATGTAGTTATGTTCTAAATTATGTTCTTTGTTCATTTCAACAGGCCTGGCAGTGTGATAGCAGACTTCACTATTACAACAACAAGTAATACACTTGATTTTAGTGCAGCAAACAAACAATTAGTTTCTGCTCTCAGTGGAACTTACAGAGTAACTGAAGATTCATTTGCTCAAACTGGTAAGGTTTTTCACTTTTTATCATTATGGCTATTCTCTCACTCTTTTTCACTCTTTTTATATTTTAAAAAGATGATAATGATATTAACAACAGTTCATAGTAATTACACTAAATAAAAGGAATATTTTTAAAATAAATGTGCAGCCAATTGTTCTTAGTTTATGGAACATGTAAAAATTTGGAGCACTGTCTGAAATTTCCTTTTTTTTTTTGCCAAATTTTCACCCAAAAATCATTACTGTAACTGTCATGTCCTCAACTGAAGCACCTTGCTTAGCTCGGCAGGCAGCTAAACTCCTCTACAATAACCACATCGACAAGAGATTCCAGTATATCTCTGTTAACTGAAGGCACTTGGAGTCGGGTAAAACTGAGAGAAAAATCAGCACAATTCTCTGTGACATTTTAAATCAGGAAACATAGCTGAGTACAACAGAATTGAAATGACTAATGATTCAGTTGAGTAGATATTAAATACAAGCATTGTACATGATAACATCAGTAGAAAAATATTAATGGTATCAGCAAAATAGAGTAGCAAGGGAGAATTCTGGATATGCATAGTAAGCACAAGAGTGATTAACAGTAAATTAATCAACAGAGAGAAATAAAACAAGTCACATTACTTAAGCTACATACAGAACATTGCCAGTAGGTGGCGCCCATTTACAAGCGTAAAGTACCAAAACACACAAAGTCTATGGGACATTACAGCAAATTAGCTGGAATCATTTCTACAACTTTAAAGAAGTATAACTTTTAAACATCTATATATATATATGTATATTTATGTGTGTGTATATATATATATATATATATATATATATATATATATATATATTTTGTTTTTTGTTTAAAAGTTATACAAGCAGGCAGTCAGCCAAGACACATTTGGTTTTTTTAAGTTATCTTCTTTAACTTTGCACTAACAAGTAATATACGGTATTAATAGCATCAAGCAAATTTCTTGTCTAAATCATCATACACTTGCCTCAAACCATCCAATTGTTAACGGGCCTATATCCTACATTTTTGTATAAATACGGTCAAAATTAATTTTTGTGTGATTATTTTCCAATCTCTCCTCATTTCTTAGAATTAAACAGACTGTTTTTGTTACGGTGTCTTTAAGACCGGTATATGTAAATGATCTCTGCCCTGTATTGTGCCTCATTCAAAAAGCAGTTGAGGCCTTACAACTTCGAGAAAATTGAGTTGTGTTATGAGCCCTTTAAGTAATCTCTGTTAATCTGTTTAGATGGTCAGTTAACAAAGACGTGTTTGGTTGCTGAAGTTCACTTATTTAGTTTTGTGGGTACAGGGCTCATGTAGCTAACAAGAAATGCAAGCAAGCTGTTAAGTAATCTCAGACTTGTTTATGTGTTTTCTTATACTGTACGACATACTGTTGTCAATTAAAATGTACAAGAGTACAGACAAAATACAAGCTTCAAGATGACTGACTGCTGTTTTAGCCATGCAGCATACTTTTGTCAATTTTTACACATTACAATATGGACAGTTTACAGTATGGGCTGTTACAGTGTTAGAAACCATATAAGCAATTTTCTTTGAGATTACTCAACAGCTTATCATGGTTTGAGGTACGTGTGTGATGTTTTAGATATTTGTTGGCTTCCATTATTTAACTACATCAGCCTTGTAGCACCAAAACTAAATAAGCAAACTCCAGCCACCAAATATGAATTTGCTGAATAAATACATACACAGAAGTTGTATTTTATTTTTTTTACCAAACAGTTGCTTTAGGAATTATGATAAACAATAGCATGTATTTATAATTGTTTTTTGTGGGTTTAGTCAGATTCAGTTCATATCAGCTTGATTTTCTTCTGCCTGTTTCATATTCTTTTCATATTTATGTGAAATAACATCAGCGCTCAACACTGTAATTTTATTGATCAACAGTTTACTACGATAACGCAGCAGTTTTATTTAAAATTTCCACAAATTTTCAGAAATTAAAATTGCATACCTCCTCAAACTAAGTGTGTATTTTTGCCTGTTAATCAAGGTTGTAGTTTTATGTTATTGTTTTGTAGTTTGCCATGAAAAACAAAAGTGCATCTTTAAAAACAGTTTACAGATTACTTTAATGAGAGAATTGGTCAAAATCAAAACCTTATGAATAACTGAAGTATTATAAATTCACTATATGATAAATATGTGCTAAGAAGTTGAAAGATTTGAAAACATTTAATCAAACTTTGTACTGTGTTGTTCAATGAGTAAAAAAATAAACTTCTAACTAACAAGTTGAGAAAGTCATATACTGTATATTGTAAAAATTGGATGTGATAAGAGTTAAAAATGCAAGAAAAAAGGTTCATGAGAATAAATCTAATATCATGTTAAGTCTTTAATCTGTATTGCATTTCTGGTACTTGACAGTGCACTTATATTAGTGAACACTGACATTCAGACAGTAAGCAGTAATTGGAATAATTTGAAAAACATGAACGGTTTAAATATTAGCACAAATGTACATTTATTAAACAAAGCTAACAGACTGTATGACTTTATTTTTTAGTGGAAAATGGCTTATATGATCGCAAAGGCAACATTTACCCTGGCAAAGATATAGATTTGACCTGTAATCCTCCAGCCTTAAGTACTGGAGGAATAACCTGGAGTTTCAATGATAAAATCATCTCAACAGAAGTAGATTCTAGTCAATATCAAATCAGTGCTGACAGAAAAACACTCACCGTGAAAAGCACCAGTGATCAGGACAGTGGTAAGTCATGATTAATTCACAAGATACTTTTAATATACTTCTGCTACTTTTACCATTATCAAGTTACCTGATGTTATCTAATGTTTAAAAAAATAGAGGAAATGGAGCAAATGATCTTTGCAGTGAAGGCTTTTTTTAAGTGTAATGAGTTATGTTACTCATTTTATTCTCTTTGCCTTCACAGGTAAATACGCATGCAAAACGACCTTAAACTCAATTCCCTACATAATCTGGCAAAAGATGGTAATTCAGCCATTGCCCAATATCAGAGCGACCACCTCAAAAACTATTTACTGTGATGGATCACCAATCACACAGGAGTGCTGCGCTGAGAACAGCTACAAGACTAAGTGGAGCCTGATCACTTCATCTGGACCACAGCAGCTAACAGGTCCCACACACAAACAGCTCACACATTTTCTCTATTTGATTTGAGTCGTTTTTAATCTGCGAATCCAGATGATGTAGTTAAACGGATTGTTTGACAGAGAGAAGTCAATTTACTTTAGAATTGTTTACACTTTTTTACCATCCACCCTCATTTACCTCATGCTTTTTGGTATTATAATACTGACCTTTCATTTTCCTAGAGATTTTGATGTGTTAATTATCTTTATTTAAAAAAAAATGCAAACTGGTAAGTTAAAATGTGCAGTAGTGGTGTCATAATAATAATTAGAAAGTCACGTAACCCTGTACATTTAGCTCAGTAATTATATATGCAAAGCTATCTTCTTGGTTAGATGTGTTTTGGTAAACGTATAGTTTGTATGTTTTTTTTTTTCTTTTTTACAAAATGTGTGTCATAATTATTGGCACTACTGCATTTAATACTTTGTGTAACCTTCTTTTGCCAAACATATCAGCACTGAGTTTCATACTTGCTAAAATGCAGAGCAAGCAACCAGAGATCACTTCTTGATACAATACAGTGCTTGCCACAGGTGGTATTTATAATGGCCGTTTTTTCTGCCATTATTTCAGTAAGGTTTATGCTAGCTTAATGACTGCAAAACACTTATCACACTCTAAATTTACACACGAGGCTACTTAAGCTCCAAGTACCCTGATGTTTGCTAATTCTTGTTGAAATATTCCAACCTTGATAGTTACATGTAATAGTTAGCATTCTGCAAATGCGTTTCTTACTGCCGCTGTCTCTGGATTTAAAAAAAAAAGATGAAATACAAATAAAACATGCTTTACTTACATGTGTATATAAGAATTACTTGGGGTGCCAATAATTTTCATGTGGTTTTGTTAAAAAGCAAAAAAGGCTTTGTCAGAGTAAAGAGATTTTTAATCTTATTCCATAACCCTCTAATGATTTTAAAGGTTTGTTTTCATAAGCAGATTACTCTCTTTGCACAGACCCAACGATAGGCTGCAGCTCATATTCGTACCCAGGTTTCAGTGAAGCGGACTGTAAGGACGGTGACAAAATTGTGACTTTCCTATGGGAAGTCTTTGACCTCAATGGAGACCTTTCTAAAACAAACCGCGTCAGAATTACTGCAACAGGAAAAAGTGAGTTATCTGCTGACTCCTTAGATATAATAATTTTTAGACAGTTTTTTTTTGCCACCTTGTGTAAACTTTTGTGTCCCCCCCACCCCACCCTCACCCGAAGGTTTGGACTGCTACGATAAACAATTTGGAGCTGGAAAATTAAACGACCTACAGACTGGTTCTTGTGATGTGGATAGCGTTGGCACTGTGACAGCTCTCTGTACATTCAGCACAACAGACAAAGGTACCTGGAAGATTGTGGAAGATAACTGCATCCTGCGTGCTCTTCAAGAACTGATAGACAAATCTGAGGTAGTATGATTCTTCTCTGAATGTTTGTTTATTTTCCATACAAAAAATAACTATTGCTCAGATAAAATGTTTTAATACATTTTCTGTAGAATTTACAAGTTGCAGACGTCCCACAGTTTACAGCTGACCTCCGGGATGCCACCGAATCCAATTCTGCTAAGATAACAGAGTCTGAACAGAATGTCTTAACAGTTGTCCTCCTAATGACAGTAATTGCCAATGTGTCACAGTCATTTATAGTTGACAAGTCCATCATGACGGTATGTAAATGTTTTTACCATTTTAACCTGACTCAATTTAAAATATATGCAGTTTGCAGTATACAGGGTTCATACAGTCATGATAATCCTGGAAAAGTCATGGAATGCTTTTCCAGGTCTAGAACAGGCATGGAAAATAAAAAGTGCTGGAAAATTAATTGAATTTCCTGGATATTCGATTCATTTTTCCCCCATACTGTTCATCATCTCATCAAATTTAAAGCATTTTAGAGTCTAGATCGCAAAAAGCACCAAAACGAATGTATCTGCACAGGGACTAGCTTTACTAACATATTGTTAATGTGAATCTTGGCTAGCTAAGGTGTAACATTCACGACGTGTGTGTTGCGGAAGATGTTTCGACATTCGAACAATGGAGAAGATGAATTAACAAGCCAAATGTAAGAGGAAAAACATGCTGCTGCTTTTTACACCAAGATATGCATGCTTAGCTTCTTCACTGTGAATCAAGCTAGGTTTGTACTTGACGCTTTGTAAGTGGCACGCCAGAAATGACACAATCACGCCACCTCCGCATCACACACTGTCATGGCGCGTGAACATGCATCTCTGATGCATGGGCCATGGGCCATGTGTGTGCTAATAAATACATTAATTCCCCACAATAGGTGAAACTATTCCCTCACAAACTTAACTTCAGTTAGGCAACTCATTTCTCTGACTAAATAAATTTGTCTGTGTTTTTGATAACTCATTTGATTTCGAGCTAAACGTAATGAAATGGAGAACGATGTCTACCTAATCGTGGTGTGCGAGCATGAACACGTCTGTGTAGTGTTATGACAAGACAATAAACCTTTCGGTAACACTTTACTGTAATGTACTGCTCATAAGGCTTCATGACACCTACATAAGGTTGTCATGAAAAATGAGCTGCGTAAATGTTTATAAATGCTTATTCCAATAGGTGTAATTTGCTGTAAAGGTTACATTTGCCAGTTTTGATCAAAGTTAGCTAAAGTAGTCGTTATGACAGATGATGCCTATTAGTATAAGCTTTTATAAACATTTATGTAGGGGTATGTCAGTTGTTATGACAGGAACCCTACAGTAAAGTGTTATCAATCTTTCTTTACAAATGAAACTGATGGTCTTGTTTGCACATGGGAATATGGGAAAGGAGTCAAAACAAAATATATAGACTTTGAAATTCTGACACATTAGTGTATTTAGCAAAATGACTGATCCTTTCTCTGAGGTTGGAGTGTTGAACTTTGTGCAGATATTTATACATGGGGCAAATTTCAGTTTCACTAGCAGTCATTCCATTCAAACCTTATTTTGACATGTAAATATTAATTTTATATTTATATAATATAGGTCTTTTTCCCTTTCAGAACCGCTGTCTATATTATATTAGATTAGATTAAATAATCCTTTATTAATCCCACAACGGGGAAAATTGCGGTGTTACAGCAGCACAGAACACAGAGCAGCAGGAAATATACAAACAATATATAAAATAGAATAAACAATAAAAGTATAAAGATATATATGTATATGTACAAAGATTACAAGAAAAATATACAAAGTATTAAATTTAAATTTAGAAATGTATGTATTGTAGTGAGTATTGCACAGTGAATAAAATAGCAAATAAATAAACAGTAAATAAATGGAGAAATATTGCACTTGACATAATTGCACATAATGGTGGTAAACATATTGACAATGATCCGCAGTGAATATACTACACATGGTGGATTGAACCACCCATCACTAACATGTTAAATTAGTGATGGATGGTTACTGATAAAATTCAATATCATGGTATTTTCAAACATATCACAGTATTATACTATCACATGATGTTAAAGTTGATCATAAAAGCTCATGCTTTCTAAGTTTCCTTATTTTTATGGATTAAAAGCATAAATGTATAGACGTTATATCGCCCAGCACTAGACTAAATGTATGGCACGGAAATTTCATTCTATGTCATGGAAAAGTCATGGAATTTCAATGTTTAAAAAGTGTATGAACCCTGAGTATATTGTAATAAACTTACTAAAATTAACTGTTTGCTGATATTAACTAACATTAAGTCTACATAATCTGTACGTGAAAGAATGCTTATCTTATATACTTGCTTGTTACTGGTTTGTGGTTATGTATTTTCTTTAATTTGAAAAATGATAAAACGTAGATAACATTATATTTCAATATACAGGATTTTCTGAAAACATCAGATGTCATTTCAGCAACAAATGCACGGAATATATGGGAGCAATTAAACAAAAAGAATACAACTCAGAAGACAAGCTCGGACCTTCTGAAGTCAACTGAGGAAATTGGAGGCAGACTCACAGATGACAGTTTTAGCATATCAACAAACAGTACTCAACTGGAGAGAACTAAAACTTATGGTCCATTTTTTGGAACATTTGGCGTAAATTCCACTACACAGATAGATATTCCAGAGCTTAATGGACAGACATTGATCACCACCATAGTTTTCTCAGCCTATGACAATGTCCTGCCTGTTCGAAATGCAACTTACAATGACAATAAAAATGTCAGTACAAATGACAGTATATATGACAGTAAAACTGACACTACAATCAATGGAGATGTGGTGGCGGTCATCGTGAACAATACAGTTTACAACATCTCTCTTACCTTTGATATTAAAAATGAGTCACTGAGAAACCCTCAGTGTGTCTTTTGGAACTACAGTCTTTTGGATGGGGATGGAGGATGGGACTCAACTGGATGTGAAATAAAGCCTTTAGTGAATCAAACTGGCAAGTTTAAGTGTGAATGCAACCACACAACCTCATTCTCGATCCTGATGTCGCCATTTTTTGTGGATAATCTTGCCCTGGCCTTTATAACTTTCATCTGTGTCGGCATTTCGATAATCTGCTTAATTTTGGCCCTCATTATTGAAATCATCGTCTGGAAGCCCTTGACCAGGAATGAAACATCCTACATGCGCCACGTCTCCATAGTCAACATCGCTCTGTCCCTCCTGATTGCGGACATATGCTTCATCATTGGAGCAGCTATTGTTAAAGACGGAGAACAGACACCAGTGGGTCCCTGCAGTACAGCAACGTTCTTCATGCACTTCTTTTACCTTGCTCTCTTCTTCTGGATGTTATTCTCAGCACTCCTGCTCCTCTACCGCACCATTATGGTGTTTGCTAGAATGTCTAAGTCCATTATGATGGCCATCGCATTCTTTGTTGGCTATGGGGCCCCATTACTCATAGCTGTCATCACTGTGGCAGTAACAGCTGGAGGTGGAGGATACATCCAGGAAAAGAACGCCTGTTGGCTGAACTGGTTCAAAACTAAGGCCCTCCTGGCGTTTGTGATTCCTGCTCTGACTATTGTAGCTGTAAACCTCCTGGTGCTTGTTGTGGTGTTATACAAGATGTTAAGGAGGGGAATTGGTAACATCTCTCAGCCAGATGAGAAACATCCCTTATTGATGATCGCCAAATGTGTGGCCATTTTAACCCCTCTCTTTGGTCTGACCTGGGGATTTGGCATCGGGACCATGGTGTCATCTGCTTTAGGGATTCACATTGTGTTTGCCCTCCTCAATTCACTGCAGGTACTGAAGTATTTTTGTTGTAACTGGAAAAACATTAATGCAAATAGTAGCTAACATACATTTCTATTAGACTGCCTGTTTAATAAACAAGTTGTCATTTATCTGTTCAAAGGGTTTCTTTGTTTTGGTATTTGGAATTCTGCTGGACAGCAAGGTATGAATTGACAAGCTTCTCAATTTCTCAAATTTCTTTTCAAAAATTCTTAAATTTAGACTCTAAGTGCATTTTAAAATTCACATAACTTTGGGATGGTTTGTTTTTTGATCACAGATCCGTGAGGCACTGGCAGAACGGTTGAAACTAAAGAATCTTAAGAATCTTACCTTTAGCGGCACAAGGGTAAATTCCTCCTCATAACAAGTCTTGTTCTTCAGTCAGATATGCTGTTTATTTATTTGTCGTTTAATTATTTCTTCTTTCACTTTTTTCTAAATTACAGAGTACAAGTGCAGGTCCATCATCTTCAAGTGGGCCGAGACGCAATCGGAGGTCAAGGAGTAAGTTACAAGACTACTAATTAACTACAACAATTCTTTACCACAAACCTGTTATTACTGTAATTTACCAGCATACTCATGATCAGAAATTAGCCCCTGTTTCATTAATTAAATATGCTTCTTTTTTTTAAAAGGAGTATTTTATAAATAATTTATTTAGTCTGTTGATAACAACATTAAAAGTAATAGCTGCCAGTTAGCAGTTAAACATATGTGGCGGCCCTGTTGGTGCTTACCAGACTATGCCACCCCTTTGTTTATACCTAGGGCAAAGGGGAGTTCTGACCACAAGAAACTTTATATAGTGGATATTGAATATGCAGCTCCAACACCAAAGAATGCTGCCACAAAACCCACCCGCTGGCTTAGCCTAGCAGCAATGAGCCGAAACTGCTACCAAGACCCCAAGGTGGCTACACATAGAAATCTTGAGGCCAACTTGATTGTATTTGAGGGCAACTGTTCTCTCTTTTATAAAGAAATAGCTATGCCATGGAGTAGGTGTATAAGTGTTCCTAATAAAGTGCTCAGAGGGTGTATGTATAGAACCCCTCCACCTCCAAAAGCCCCTCGTTAGCCTTGGCAATTGCTGGCTGTCTCTAATACCCTGAGCGCACAAGATTTTAACAAAACATTAGGGCAACAAGTATTACCCCTCTCATAATGCATGCTTAGAGCACTTTATAACTGGAAAAGGAAAAAAAAACCAGTCAAATCAAATCAAGACTGGATGAAATGGAGGTAACACATGATTGCAAAGACAGAGTTAAGAACGTCATACAATTAATTCTGATTCAACTATCAGATATATAGCCAAATATTGGTCTAATAACCAACCAGAAAACATAACACATATGCTGGCCATCCAGGCTGTACAGTGTTTACCAATTATGTAATCAGTTGTAGTAAATGTCATCTTACTGCTTGTCTACAAAATAGACTACACTGCATTACACTGCATCAGGCTCAACAGCACCTGTTTCTAAAGTATTGTCTGACATGAGGCATAAAACAAAGATATAAGAAAAAAACATGGAAAGAAAACACCCACCATCCACAGTGTATCAGTTGCCCTATCTGGCTAGTTTTATGCAGCAGGTCGTCCCTCACACCCTAACAGTGAATTTGTTTAAAAAAAAGCTCTAGGCTTCTCGTCATCTCTGGGTTTAGGGGTGAGGGTGCGATGTGCTCGGCTTTTCAGGTAGATCAAGGATATCATGTAAGACATCTGCATTGAACTGACAGGGCATAGACCCTTCACATCCTCCTATATTCCTAGCAGTCCAATATTCTCTCTGCAGCTTTGGCTGCCAAATCAGACTGAGCCATGAAACTGCCCGCAATATCAAGTTTAGCTCAGTGTTGTCATTTTTTGCTAGATCAATATTAATATTTGTTTATAAATAGTTGTTTTGTTCCAGTCAGTCTATAAAGCACCTTACAGCCCATTTTATGTAATGATTTACAAGTGAAATAAATCATTTTGAAATCGAACAGATCCTTTTAAATCACCCTGCATATTACGCTGTCCATTATGAATGGTTCATTTTTATGTTTAAATGCTTTTTTAAATTATTAGATACAATAGCATTTTAATCTCATGAGATAAAATTCAGTCTTATGGGATTGCGAGGGTTGCTACACAAAGTAGCATAAACATTTAGGCTTAAGCTTAAACTTTTTGCCCTCTGTAAATTACAAAGTAACATTTAATTCATTATTTAAGTTTAGTAGTTTTTCTTAAAAATTTAGGTCCCAATGAATAGAAGTTGTCATATATTCATAACACACCCAATCATCAGTGGCATACACACTCTTTCAAGGCCTCTTCATTACTCTTTCTATTAGCACATTGGCCCAGTAGTGTAGGCCGTAGCTCACATGTATTGAGATCGTTATGCAACCCTACTAATCTGTGCTTGTCCTTTTCAGATGGATACCACGTATCAAGCGGCAGTGGATCCTCTGCAGTTTCATCTTCAAGCATTGCGGATACAGTTACCAATACTTAGTGCACCCCACAAAAGTTGTTGATGATAGATACTCAGAAAAGACCCAGGATGAAGATGATTCCACTTAAAATCATTAATTTGAATTCATTTGATTGATTACTTGAAGAATTTGTGTGACAAAAGCTATGAAATGAATTTCACCAGCATAATTGGTTAACTTTTTAAAACTTCTACAGTTTACAGATGTCTCAGAAATACCTGTTACACAATTCATTAACTATTAACAAGCAAATAACAATGCCCTTGTAAATTGAAACGTAACATGATATAAATGTATTTTTATGATGTGTTACTAAGGTCTTTTCTAAATTAAGTGTTAACTGTTTGTTGACCAATCAGGTAAATGTTGATTAATTGTAAAATTTCAGTTGCACTTGTACTGGAAATGTAGTAAATGCAGTGGTATTGTTATTATATATAATATTTACAGTAACTTAAAACACCATTTACAATTTTTTTTCATTTTTAACAGACCTGGAAATGTTATTTGTTAGCAGTTAGATTCCACTTTAGGTATGGTCTTGCAAATTCATTTATAAAGATATTTTTAATATAGGTAGTTCTTTGAAAGCTATTTCTAGTTATTTCTAGGTCATTTATAAGCATTTACTAACATAAAGGTTATTATTTGAATACTATTTTAAATAAGCTTATTTATAAGCTCTGCTTTTAACCATCATACGATCATACCAACATTGTTAAACAGCTCACAGATGAGCTCTTCAGGTTCAGTGGTCAACTCATCACTGTGAAATTAGTGGTCAGTTGATTGAGTTCTGATTAACAGGACATGCAAACATTCAGAACACGTGACATGTATGAGTACACTCGCAACTGAAATGTGACCATTTACAAGCATTTACTACATACTTAAAAAAGATGGTTCTCCAAGGGTTCTTTAGTAAAGAAAATGGGTCTATATAAAACTACGAACAGTCAGAGAAGCCTTTACATGATTAAAGGGTTCTTTGCATAATGAAAGGGTTCTTTAGATTGTTGGAGAATGTGCTGTAGATTCTATATAGAACCTTTTTGAAAAGAGTTCTATGTAGTGCCAAAAGGGGTTCTTCTATTCTGACAAGCTTGACATCATAACAATAGACTGAAAAGAACCCCTTTCAAAAAGGTTCTATGTAGAACCAATTACAGCACATTCTCCATCAATCTGAAGAACCATTTCACGATGCACAGAACCCCTTAATCTTGCAAATGGTTCTTTGATTGTTCATGGTTTCATATAGAACCATTTTCTTTGCTAAAGAAAGAACCATCTTTTTTAAGACTGTACCATGTTTGTTATTAATATTGCTATTATTATTATGTTTGGTTCATGGTGATTTCAGATAATTATTACCTCTTCAAATTCCTTGATTAACATGTTAGATAAAGACATTTCTGAAAACTGGAAGGTTACAACAGATAAACATTAATTCATTAATTAATTAGGTCAGCAACTAATTTACAGGAGACCTTACAGATGAAGCATGATATAAATATTTTATAAAACATTTTGATTACATGTGATGTGGTTCTATTTCATAGGGCATCATTGATGGCTTGCTAATAGTTTAATGATCAGTAAGAAGCAAACATTATTGTTATGGAAAATACTTTTGTTTCCTCATATAGACTAAGACTTCTAAGATGCTCTTTCTAACTGTATAGATTATGTTGGGGTATAGATTTAGATTGGGTTTATAAAGGTGCAATAAAGTGTTTATAATTAGTCTCTGCTTACTAATACATCAAGCCTTCATATAATATTTTATTGTTGTTTTGTTTTCATAATGTAATGAGATTAAAGGAAACTTGATTCCACCTAAATTTCTTTTCTCTCTTTTTATTTTGTATTTGTTATGGAGAAATGTTTGATGTTTAAAGGCTTATTTCCTTCTACTTTTCTGAGATTACACCTTCTATAGGTAAAACTTGGGCTACATTTTTTAGGACCTTTAATGCTAAAGACACTAAAAATTCATTCTAAACTTCTAAAACAGTGTTAAATATGAAAATGTTCGTGTTTCACTCCCATCAAGGTAGTAATGTTGTTTGTAATGTGAGGTTTATGTAACCCTACTCTAACATCCCTCTGTCTGTAGTTCTAGATGGACTTTTCTTGTCGATGTCCAGCGTTGACATTCTACATACAAGCCGTAGAGTAATACATCCAGTCACTTCCTCCTGTTTGTTTTACTTTACCACATTTTATTGACTTTTACTACTGAAACATTGAGTTATTATGAGCCTTCAAAAACACTATGTGGCAAAGAACTGCACATAAATGTGTTTTTTACTACAAGACTACAATCGTGGAGACTTCACACAGTTTCAAGTATCCCTTACACAGACATATCTGATCTCGTCAATTAATTGTCAAGCCCTTTACAAGTTTAGTTTATTCAATTTGGGGCAATGCACTTTAATAAACATTTCTGTAAATGTGCCAGTTTGGCTTATTTTCAACTGCAGTTCCTGGACAGATACAAAACATAGAAAGCAGTAATTCGCAAATTTTGTTTTACCTGTTTTTGATTGAAAGCAGTGTAAAACAGGATAGTTATTACCTTTTTTTGTGCAAATACACACTCCATCCAAATTTGATGCCTGCAACATGTTCCAAAAACTTGTTTTAGTACTGGGTAACATCAACAGCACTGTGTTATAAGACACTAGGCCGAGGTGATATCTACAAATACTTAGCGCAGTGCTTTCTAGATTAAAAACCGCAATGATCAATTATATCAGCCCTCCCCAACCAATACATATGGTCGGCTGCAGCTTTAATCTACGTTCTATTCATTTCTTTTTTTTAGTGTAAATGCTTTTTTAAACATTACATTTTATAACCAAACTAACTTCAGACTGCAAGCGCCCATATTAGGTGTTTTCTGTCGTTATTACAGTGTCACTCTGGAATTCAGCTATATATACCTTTTGGAAAACATTGGAGGATTATATTTTCACAGTTTTCATTATTTAACTTTATGGAATATACTAGATTTTTTGGTGCTCGGTATACTGTACTGTGCAGAAATCTTAGCTTCTCTAAATGATTTTCTAACCTGAGAATATTTAAATTAAAAAAAACTGTTTAACGTGTAAATGTGTAATCAGGTGAATGTTGGGTCTAGACTAGTCCAGGTGCATGTTGGGGGGGCACCAGTGCATGTAGTAATCTGACCGTCTTGGTGAAGAAGCTACTGCAGAGTCCAGTAGTAGTGGAATAGATGCTCTGGGGCGTTTTGCCAGATGGCAAGACAGTAAAGAGTCCATGAGAGGGGTGTGAGTTTGGTCCTGTAGCTGCAGCGCTTGTGGTCGGACGTATCAATAGTGGGTAGAGACTCTACTGATTGACAATTTCAGTCATTCACTGAAAACTGCAAATTTAAACCTCACTCAATTATAGTTTTTCTAGGGCAAAATTCTATACCAAAGAATCAATTTGGTGATGCTTATGATAATGAAATGTATAAAGAGCTCTCACACCCATGTTCACTCATTTCTATAAAGTATATGTCTTCAATTGATGTGGTGATGGTGTGTTAGTGTGTGTTGCGCTGGTCTGAGTGGATCAGACACAGCAGGGCTGCTGGAGTTTTTAGACACCTCAGTGTCACTGCTGGACTGAGAATAGTCCACCAACCAAAAATATCCAGCCAACAGTGTCTAACAGAGTGGACAGTGAGTGTTTAAAAAAACTCCAGCAGCACTGCTGTGTCTGATCCACTCGTACCAGCACAACACACACTAACACACCACCACCACGTCAGTGTTACTGCAGTGCTGAGAATGATCCACCACCCAAATAGTACCTGCTCTGTGAGGGTCCATGGGGGTCCTGACCACTGAAGAACAGTGTAAAAGGGGGCTAACAAAGTCTGCAGAGAAACAGATGGACTACAGTCTGTAACTGTAGAACTACAAAGTGCACCTATATAGTAAGTGGAGCTGATAAAATGGACAATGAGCGAAGAAATGAGGAGGTGGTCATAATGTTATGCCTGATCGGTGTAAATGCACTATATGTTGATGCTGTTCGTGGATTTGGTTTATGGACCACATTCAGATTTTCTAGTAGAGGCTGTAGTGAAAATGATTCTGATGATACAGAGGGAATTAGATGGTTACCGAACAGCTGTCAGAAATGTGGCTGGGGAATCTGTCGACTCCCCATTGATCTCGATAAGAGGAAAAGATGAAGGCTGCTGAGCATTTCATGCTAGAAATACTAGTTTGTGTGACTGCACTCACATGATGTATGATTTGTTTAAGAGTTTGCTCTAAAATAAACAGGCAATTCAGTGTTTTTCAGTCATTTACACTATTAACACTTTATTTTGATGGTCTACTGTTGATGCTTCATAGATGTAGCTGTTGTTTTTAACTAACATTCAAGAAAATATCTATTAGATGCCACAGAGCTTGAATTTGAGTGCAATAGATTTGATTAAATCTAACCCCAAACATAACCTTAACCTCAAAATCAAATCACAGATCTACACTTCAGTATCTGAATGAGTCATGCATAGCAAAGCAATTAATCATGTTCTGTCTGCAGTGCATGTTTCTCTTACTAAGCATGAATGACGGTGGATTTCCTGCTTACATTTTTACAAGTGGTACCAGAACAAAACAATGTTAGGCATGTGCAAACATCCTATATTTAAATCCGCATTCCATATACACATATTTGATTGGTTCCAGAAACCAGAGTGTTGTTAGGCCAGCATGCATAAATTTGAAAGATACATTAATTATTCTCTAGTCAAAGCCGTTATACAGTGTGTTCCAGAATTATTGTCACCTTTGTTTAAAATGAGCAAAAAGGGTATGGACTTAATCTTGCACTGGAAAATTATGTTTAGTAAGTAAGTAATACAACCGGTTGTCACAAAGCAGCTTTACAAGGAAATGAGCATTAAAAAGAAAAGAAATCTGGGTCCAAGCCCCCATGAGCATCGCCAGCGGCGACAGTGGCAAGGAAAAACTCCCTAGGGAAACAGGAAGAAACCTTGAGAGGAACCAAGACTCAGAAGGGGAACCCATCCTCCTCTCCTCCTCTGGTCGACACCAGATAGTAAAACATTGTTAGTATAAAGTATTATAGTACAAAAAACAGGGTAAAAGGAGGAGCAAACAATTAATTTGAATAGTTTAGTTCATGCAGCAGCAGCAGCAGCATCAGTGGGGTCAGGTTGTGGGGGTGAGGTTTGCATGACGGGCAGTGGCACCCAATCAAGGCAGAAGAGGCAGCAGCATCAGACGCACAGGATGGGCAGCTGTTCAACTCGGCAAAGGAAAGAAAGGAAAAACACAGAGTCAATTCTGTAATGGGTGATTGATTAATTTGAATTAGTTTAAATGATTGATTGGTTCAAGTGAATAATTTTGATTAGTTCATGTAGCAACAGCAGTAGTATCAGTGGGGTCAGGTTGTGAGGGTGAGGTTTGTACGACGTTGTACAGCAGGAGGCTCAATGTTGGTAAGCTGGTCCAGAGGGCTGGCGAGCAGTGGCACCCGATCGAGGCAGAAAAGGCAGCAGCATCAGACGCACAGGATGGGCAGCTGTTCAACTCGGCGAAGAAAAGAAAGGAAAACACACAGAGTCAGTTCTGTAATGGGTGACCGATCACAAAGAGACTCTGGCAGGTATAGAACTGACAGGGAAAACTAATTACCAAAGGCTTGAATATACAAGTAGGTTTTTAGCCTAGACTTAAACACTGAGGCTGTGTCTGAGTCCCGAACATTAACAGGAAGACTATTCCAAAGCTGGGGGGCTTTGTATGAGAAGGCTCTCCCCCCTGACGTAACTTTATTAATTCTAGGTACTAATAGTAATCCAGTACCTTGTGATCTAAGTAGGCGTGATGGTTCATAGTGGGAGAGAAGTTCACTCAGGTACTGAGGGGCGAGTCGGTTTAGTGCTTTATAAGTCAGTAAGAGAATTTTATAATCAATGTGAAATTTAACTGGTAACCAGTGTAAGGTTGATAAAACTGGGCTGATATGGTCAAACTTTCTGGTTCTTGTAAGGACTCTGGCTGCAGCGTTCTGGACCAGCTTAAGTTTGTTAAGGCTTTTGCTGGGACATCCAGCCAGCGGGGCATCACAGTAATCTAGCCTTGAAGTAATTAATGCATGAACTAACTTTTCTGCATCCTGTAGAGAGAATGCATTTCTTAATTTAGCAATATTGCGGAGATGCAGGAAGGCTGTTCTAGTAATATTAGTTATATGTGCGTCGAAGGACAGATCAGGGTCTATAATGACACCAAGGCTTTTTACAGATGAGCTTGATGCAACTGAGAAATTGTTAAGTTTAAATGTTAAATCAGACAGTTTGTTTCTAGCTGCTTTTGGACCAAGAAGCAGAACCTCTGTTTTATCCGAGTTTAGAAGGAGAAAGTTACGCGACATCCAGTCCTTTATGTCTTGTATGTTTCAGTAAGATTATTCCAAGAAATAAAAATCTAATTTATAAGGGTCATTCTACAGAAACGTCCACTTTTCTGTCTATTCATAGGAGTCACTGGTGTTACTGATCATCATTGGTGTTACACATAAGAAAGGAAACACCAGAGACATTTTTAATGAACAATGCATTTTACAAAAAGGCTGCTACAGAACATCAAACCACATGTTGTCAATCATGGAACATCCACTAAAATATGTAATTTAATCCATTTGTATTCTATTTTTTCACAATTACCTAAGAATAATGTTGGTCACACCAGTGACCTCAACTAAAAGCTTCATATGAAATCATGAGCTAAAGGAGAAAATCTCTGATAACTGAACGACACAGTGGACTCACCATGTGCTTTTCTTCATAGATCCTCAGCCATTTGTTTTCTTTATATCATTTCATTTATATATTTCATAGTCATGTATAGATTATTGTATTGAAATGGCAGAAATTTTTTTTTTCTTCAAAATATGGCCTCAGCCTTTACACATGACTGTGGGGATGAGCTCTATACAATTGATTCAAAAAACAATATTGCTGAATTGAGGCTCAAGAAGGTGTAATTCTTAAAATAACATTGTTTTATTTTAAAATATAAATAAATTGTAACCCTAACATGTTTTTGAGCGTAATATATCTGTAAACGCTAGGGAAACAAAAATGGACGTTTTGGTAGAATGACCCATATATATATATATATATGTATATACACTGTATATATGATTATTTAAATTATTGAAAAGTACACTTAGAAATTAACCACAATTATTTTCTCATAGTTTCTCATAATAATAAATGTAATTTAGAAACTCATACAGTCTCATCGTATGTAACACCTGTTTCATTGTGGCAGGGCTTTCACTATCTATTATAATAGCAGTCGAGTGATCTGCTGATTATTTTGACGATTAGTTGAGTAATCAGTAGAGATTTTTTGAGGTCAGACAATGGACGAAACAGAACAATAACAATTTGTGAAGAGCCTTTCAAAGACTGCTAAACTGACTAGTCGCACAAGATGACATGGTTTAATTTCCAGCATAAACAGTGTGTGCATGACAACATGGACCAGTCTGAGATTCTCATAAACAGTAATGAGAGAAAAGAAAAATATTTTCAGCCTCTCTTTTTCATTTGGCCATGTTGATGGATTTTTGATTTCTTCAGCATGTAGTTGATTCCTGATTCTGTTGTGTATGTTCAGGAAGGGGATCTGCAGACTTAAGCTACAGCCAGTAGGGTCCTGAGGTTGTTGTTGGTGTCTTCCTGCTTCCCGCTTGAGTCCATGCTTTGACAGCTCTCACCAGCGTTGGCCAGGAACAAGAAGCTCTCAAACCTCAAATTTATGTCTTAAAACCTTCACAGATGTGGTGAAAACTCTCCCATCATATGAAATCTTGCATGGGTCTGGTCTCATTCTTTGCTCTCAAGATCATAACAGTGATTTCCTGCGGATTATTTCTTGCACAAGGATACTGTCTTTCCACCCAAACACAGCCTTATCATGAGGTGCATCAAAAACACAAGCTTTAGTAGTAGAGCAAGTTCAGAGAAAAGAGAGACATAGCCGTTGACAAAGTCATCGTCCTTAGACATGTTGAGCAGATAATAGTAATAAAAATGAAATGGAAAATGTCATAAAAAATGTCATGAATATCTTTTAAAGGGTGTCTCAGTGATGGTATTAATGAAAACATTAAGTGATTTTAGACATTTTAATAACATAATAAAATAAAAATTAGGGATGACCTAATCAATTTTTTTTTGCCCCAGTCCTCACCTGAATATGTTTATCATGGATAATACAGCTGCACAGTGCACACTTCAAATACAATTAAGTTAAAAACCAATCCAACTATGTTAAATAATTCCTTTAAATGTTCTCAGTTCTTATATTTGTACACCGACAAGCCACTTCATGAACCACACCTCCTTGTATCTACACTCTTTCTGCCTTTTATCAGCTCCACACTTGGTGCCCTTTGTAGTTCTACTATTACAAACTGTAGCCTATTATAATCTATATGTGATCTGTTTCTCTGCATACTTTGTAGGCACTTTTTACCCTGTTCTTCAGTGGTCAGAACCCCCACAGGACCACCACAGAGCAGGTACTATTTGGGTTTTTAGTTGGAGTTCTTCCTGGTCACTCTATAAGACACTTCTACCTTGTTGGTCTACCTTCTAGATGTAAATTCAGATTCAGATGCACATTTTATGATAGTCATCTCTAGTCCTTTGTCAGTGGTCACAGAAAACCGCCCACCGGAGGCTGGTGGCTGAATACTTTTGGTTGGTGGACTATTCACATTCCAGTAGTGACACTGCAGAGTTCAAAAACTCTAGTCTGGAAATGTAGAACTGCAAAGCCACCTGTGCTTAATTAAAGTGGCTAGTCAGGGATTGTGTATGTGTATATGTGTGTGTGTGTGTGTGTGTGTGTGTGTATGTACACTATATGGACAAAAGTATTAGGACACACCTCTTAATCATTTAATTCAGGTGTTTCATTCAGTCTCATTGCCACAGCTGTATAAAATCAAGCACCTGGCCATGCAGCCTGCCTTCACAAACATTAGTGAAAGAATGAGTCGGGTCCCATTTTGTAGGGAAAAATTTCAACCACTACCCCCTGTAACTCAGTTCCAAGGGGCAAGGTGACAGTTGAAAACAAGGGCTAGGGGTAAAAATAAGAAATGGGCCTAAGTCTGTATTAAACCTTACTGAGCAGGTCCTTTAGGGAAAAAAAAACACCAGGCCCAAACAAACATGTCTCTGTTGTCTCTGTTGTAGACTGTATCTTTTTGCTTTCACGTGGTTATTGGTGCTTTTGGTCATTCTGGTTTATAACATTATGTATGCCCAAACCTTTGTAATATGAGGCCATTTAGGGCTGCAGATGTATATAATTAATTTTATGTATAATCTAAAAAGGACTCAGTTTTACATAAAATACACTTACAGGTTCAGTGACCCATCCTGTGATTTGTTAGGACAGTCATGTTTGTAGTAGTTGATATATTTACACAGAAGCATGAAATATATATTTTATCAGCAGATATTTGATGCTGTGATGTGAAGCGATTGCTGTAGTTCACAGAGAGCAGTGATAAAAAAAGAAGGCACAAGAACATTCTTCTCTACTTACACAATAGAATCAGGAAACAGAAGCTAAAACCAAACAGGTCCAGCGAGTGTTTAACACAGTTATGTTCACTGCGTTATTCCAGTAATGCTCGTGGGCAGTTCTTCCAGAATGCGTCAGTCAAAAGACAAAAACATGTTTCAGACAAACCTGGACGTTGCTGAAAGGAGCTTCGGTTGACTGAGGCTAAGGTAAGACTCATAAATCATTTAAATGAATAACGTTGTTTATATATATTCTTTATTATCATTTTTAATTGAAAAGCATGTGTTGCCTGTGGCTTACATGGAACGTGTAAGATAATGATATAAAAGAACGTGTTGCCTTTATAGCAATAACTTCTTATGACATTTGATATTCCTTCCTGGTATGAAAATAAATGAGAATTTTGGTCTGAATTTTGAGTTGATGACAGCGTGGCTTTATAACATATCGACAGTCATTATAGGGAGGCACACTGTTGCAGCAAAGTACAATTGATGAGTACTTTATATAAAAATCTTTATTTTATAGTCATTTGCAAAAGCCGTATAAGGTACTATAAACAAATCGCTGTTGTCGGAACAAAACCTTGTATCTCCAAAATGGTAACTTTACAGGAGAAGGAAAAAAACTACTTTACTTTTAATGTAAGTCAATGGAACCAGACGTCTTTCCAAGTAGTTTTGGGCCGTTTCTTTTAGTCCATTCATCATGAAATTTATAAACAATGTAAAGGGCGACAGGCATTTTCAGACTATGTCAAAAACTGAAAAACGTCAAAATTTGAGATACGAGTTTTTTTTCTGACAGCAGCAAAATGTGTCAGTCTGAACTGTTGCAAGCATGACATAAAACACGTTTTTAGAGGAATAAAATCAGAATACATAACTCTGATTTGAATTCATACATTATTTACAGTGATAGCACATAACGTTGTTGGATGCTCACAGCCTCTTCCTGCATAAAATTTATAAAGGGATACCAAAAGCACTAATAGTTCAGACCAGTTACTAGAACCATAGCCAACACATTCCAGGTGTTTTAACAGCGCTCTATTATTTTTCCACACTCCTTCCGTAAAAAGATATCACTGCTGATAGAATATACGTATAAAATACTGGGCAAAACAATCAGAATGAAGATTTCTCAAAAATGAATAAAATCTCTTGTCTATTTTAATCAGTTTTCACTTGTTGATGTTATGTAACAAAAGCATGTAACTGAGAGAAACTGACTCAGCTGTGTGGTTTCAGGGAAATTTTGTGAGGTGTCAGATTTAATTGACAAGTGTTTGATTGATCAGTGCAACCTTGTTTAGTAAAACCTATTTCCCATTGCCCACAGGCACCAACTATTTGCATATTGTTTGGCTTGTTTTACTCAACCTCTTCAAGTTGTCTTTCCCCTCTTACCTTGCGCGCATCTTATTCATACTCCTTGGTTTACTGATCTCGCTCTTGGCTGTAAAAGCCAGAATTTGTTTCAATGGCAGCATTAAAACAAATTATCTGCTTTCATTAGTTGGACAAACCTCATTGGGTTGAATGTAGGAGTGATACACAGTCAGAAAAACACAATATAAATTGACTCTCTAAGGTACAATAATGGTGTTATGGTCCAACTGAGTACCTTAAATACCCCCCCCCCACCCCCCATCTCTAAGAAAAGGTACAAATTTGTACCTTTTCAGAACAGTAAACTAAAAGGCGTGTTGTGAAGCCAGGGTGTGTGGAGTCAATACAACTTAATTAATGTAATTTCAATGTAATTTGATGCAATTATGTTCCAAAAAAGTTGGGACAGAAGCAATTTAAGACTATAGACATTTTGAAAAAAAGTCTAAGGTGATGCTAACATGTTTGGGTATGAAAGGAGCATCCAGGAATGGCCTAGACGTTTATGTGCAAGGACGGGTCAAGACTCACCACTTTGCCCAAAATCTATCAGTATATGATATCAATTTTAAACGATTTTAAACAAATTTAAACCATAGAAAGTTGACGTCAGTTTGATCTTTGTTCTAGTTATAAATTAACCAACAAACTGCAGTAATTCTTCTTTTTGAATTTTTGTATTAGTGATTTTTTAATGTTATGCAAGAAAAAAACAGACTTTCATTGTGCCTGCATATGTATAATTAGTAAGCGTTCCTGCACAGTTGCATGATTAGCTACAGCCTTAGTAAGCTGAGCTTTAATCTCCCCAACTAAAAGTACTGCAGATATAACCTAGAGGGAACCACCTCAGTGACAGTTTAGTACATTTTCCCCTGAGAGTGTACAAACCATCAGTCCAAGTAATCTCCAAATTGGTAACAACATGGGAAATCACAAAATCAATACTTACACCGATCAGGCATAACATTTTGACCACCTCCTTGTTTCTGCGCTCATTGTCCATTTTATCAGCTCCACTTACTATATAGGTGCACTTTGTAGTTCTACAGTTACAGACTGTAGTCCATCTGTTTCTCTGCATACTTTGTTAGCCCCCTTTTACCTTGTTCTTCAGTGGTCAGGACCCTCATGGACCCTCACAGAGCAGGTACTATTTGTGTGGTGGATCATTCTCAGCACTGCAGTAACACTGATGTGGTGGTGGTGTGTTAGAGTGTGTTGCGCTGGTACGAGTGGATCAGACACAGCAGTGCTGCTGGAGTTTAAACACTGTGTCCACTCACTGTCCACTCTATTAGACACTCCTACCTTGTCAGTCCACCTTGTAGATGTAAAGTCAGAGACGATAGCTCATCTGCTGCCGCACAGTTTGTGTTGGTCATCCTCTAGTTCTCCATCAGTGGTCACAGGACGCTGTTGGCTGGATATTTTTGGTTGGTGGACTATTCTCAGTCCAGCAGTGACACTGAGGTGTTTAAAAACTCCAGCAGCACTGCTGTGTCTGATCCACTCAGACCAGCACAACACACACTAACCCACCAGTGCTGAGAATGATCCACCACACAAATAGTACCTGCTCTGTGAGGGTCCATGAGGGTCCTGACCACTGAAGAACAAGGTAAAAGGGGGCTAACAAAGTATGCAGAGAAACAGATGGACTACAGTCTGTAACTGTAGAACTACAAAGTGCACCTATATAGTAAGTGGAGCTGATAAAATGGACAATGAGCATAGAAATGAAGAGGTGGTCATAATGTTATGTTCCCTGACTTGGAATGTGGTCTTGGAATAAAAAAAGAAAAGAAGTATACAAGGAAACACGTCTTTAGAAGTCAGTATACAGAAACAGCCCGGTAAAAAAGTCAGTATGTGACTTTTTATATACTATATGACAGTCTACACCACTGACGTAGAACCATTTGACATAAAAATATTAATAAATTCTACATTAATTTAACTTGAGTTATCTGAAACCTACCCACATTTACTCAAAGGTTACTGTCGCGTCAGATGAAAGAGAGACTTTGAAAGAATCAACTCAATAGTAAATCTTACTGTTTCAAAACAGACACATAAAACTGACACATAATTACAACTAACTTAAGAATTTATTGATAATTAAAACTTAAACTCTTGTTTTTACAGAATGAACGTGTCCAATAACTCTTGCATACACACTGGAGAAACAGAGTGACTACAGTTAAAATTCTTCAAATCTGCATGAGCATAATGGGCAATGAAGGTAAGTCATTGTTTATGTGAGTTTTATTATTATTATCATTATCATTATTATTATTATTATTGATATTAATACAGCCATGTAACAATAAGATATAAGATAAGGTAAATTAAATGCAGTAGCATGGCCTGAAAGTTTATATTTGATCTTAACAGTGGAATCGAGGGCTATAATGCTAAATTTTAAGCAAAGCAAAAAGATTCCTGATAAAACTTGTTTAACTAGATGTTTTTCCTCTGTAGAGGTTCAGCAAAGTTTCTGCTCCTTTCTGAGTTACAAGCTCTCATTTTAAAGAAAGTCACATCTACCCTAGTTGAAAGTCATTTCTACTGAGGTATGCACTTCACCAGGCTGTAGTTCAACTATAGTGGTGTAGAAGACGAACACTACCTGTTGGGCCTGAAATATCACTTTTCACATATTACTCTCAGTTCAGTGTTATCAGTTCTCTCTCAGAGTTCACCGACTTCAACATCAAGTACTTTACGTCTCAAAGTCTGTGAGGTCATAGTCTGCAAACACACTTCCAAAAAAGTTGTTGTGGCATGTAAAATGCAAATAAAAACAGAAAGCTGTGATGTTTTACCTTATTAACTTCATTGTTTTTTGGAAATACACCCTCATTCCAAACTTGATGCATAAAACACTTTCCAAAAAAGTTGGGACTGAGGCAATTTAAGACAATTTGCCCAAAATATGTCAGTAAATAACATCAAAACATTCAAAGAAATCTCTGTGCTTATGGGCCACGCCAAAAAAAAAAAAAAACTGAATGCCTGTGATCTTCGCACTGTATTAAAACTGGCGTATATCTGTGATGTATTTTATCACATGGGCTCAGGAAAACTTTTACAAACTATTGTCAATAAACACCATCCATCGCAACATCCATAAAGGCAAGTTAAGACTGTACTATGCACAGTGTCAACAATGTCCATAAAAACCGCTGACTTCTCTGGTCTCAAGCTCATCTGAAATGAACTGATGCATAGTGGAAACATGTATTGTGCTATGTGCTGTTGCTGGAAGAAAACCATGTATCTCCAAAATGGTAACTTTATGGGAGAAGGAAAAAACATACTTTACTTTGAATGTAAGCCAATAGAACCACAGACTTCTTTCCAAGTAATTTTAGGCCGTTTTTTTGCTCAATTCATCATGAAATTTACCAATGATGTAAAGGCCAACAGGCATTTTCAAATTATATCAAAAACTGAAAAACAGCGTATGATAAGTCAGTCTTTTGTATTGTTAATGGAGATAATGGATGCTGTGTTCTCTGGGTCAAAGAAAAAAAAGGACAGTCCAGATTGTTACCAGCATAAAGTTTAAGAGCCAGCATCTTTCATGGTCTGTGAAGGCAGCATTAACACAGAACACATTTTGGAGCAACATATGTTGCCTTCCGTGTGATGTAATTGTACTCCCGCTGTACTCCCGCACTTTACTTGCATAGCTGGACTTTGAATACCTATCCAAAGACAATACTCTCCCCCTGCACTTCCACTTAACTTCCTGTACCTTGCACTTTACTAAATACTCTGCCACCTACTGTACCATCTTCTACCTCCACACCTAGTGTGATTATTTGCACATCCACATAGCATCGTAATATCCATTACTATATATAGTATATAGTTGATTACACCCACCCTACATTCCCAGTGCAATATTATATGTCTCGGTGCAATATTATTATTTTTAAGTTATTGTGTAAGATTATATGTATATATTTTAGTTAAATTGGTTTTATCTATTCTTCTATCCTATCTATAGTTTTGTTTATCTATGTGTAAATACTGTTCTCTGCATAATTTGTGGAACTCGCACTCAAGTTTTTCACTCACCTGTGTCCCTGTACTCTTGTGATGTGACAATAAATCTGATTTGATTTGATTTGATTTGATTTGATTTGTAATTGACAGGGACGTCCATTTGTATTTTAACACGATAACAGCAAGTAATATTCTGCTTGTTTTACAACTGCATGGCTGCTGGGTGCTAACATCACTAAGCTCAAAATATGACCATGAAGGCTGTGTACAGTCACATAGTTGAAGACTTGTATAAGAGAAAATTGAAAAAAATCTATTTGTGCCTCCAGTTCTCAACTGTTTATTAAGTGCTGTTCAAGTCAAGTCAAGTCAAGTCAAGAGGCTTTTATTGTCATTCCATCTATGTACAAGTACACAGTGGAGCGAAATTACGTTCCTCCAGGAACAACACGGTGCAACAAGGAACAAAAAGTACAAAGTACAAAAATACAAAAGTGCGAACGTGCAGACAGTGTGCAAACAAGGATTAAGCTAGAAAACAATACAATAAATACAATAAATTAAACAGACATTAGATACAGTTAACAGACCAGACAGTGTAGCACCGACACAGCACAGATTTCTGGACATGAGGTAGTGGAATAAGATGCAGACATTTTTAACGTGATGTGATCTGTAAGTTACGTCAGATAACATACCTATACATAGCAGTTACAGAGGTAGTAAAACAATTACAAGTACTGAGTAGTAAAACAGTTACTGAGGTAGAAAACAGTTACTGGGGTAGTAAAAACAGTGTAAACACAGCATTGGCAGCAATGTTCCAGATAGATAGTGCATGTAGAGCATCAAAAGAGGTGTGTATGAGTGCGGGATTTAGTTCAGTCCTCATGAGTTTAAAAACCTGCTGTTAAGGAAAAGTGATGTAATGCTGTGTTAAACAAGCTCCTGTCCCAACCTTTTTGCAACATATTGCAGGCATCAATTTTGAAATAAATGTATGTTTACAAAAAAAACAATGCGTGCATTTACATGCACTCAGTAATCCCATCATAATCGGATTTCTGCAGTTATCAGATTATTCGAATGGTCACGTAAACACTATACTCCTAGAAATCTGATAAAGAGGCTGGATTTTAGCTCAGTAATCAGATTTCTCAGTGCATGTGAACTCTTACTCTGATTTCTTTCGGATTTCTCAGTCCACACATGCATAAGAACAGATGGCGGTACTAGATATAACTAAGCAACGTTGCTGCGAGACGCAGCAAAACACTGTTGGAGCTGCGCTGAAACCAAACACGAAATAAAGGATTTAAATATTCTTCATCTTCTAGATGATGTATGTTCATATTTAAGTAAATCAGCTCCATGTTTAAGAAAAAGCCACATTGATTTTTGCGTTATGTTTACGTCACGTCTTCTTCTGTGAGTTTATTGGCTGGTTGCAAAGCAGAAATTTGATTACTGTCTCACTCATGCAGACCTGGAGTTTCCCCATTATCTGATTACTCAAGTGCATGTAAACATGTTGATCGGATTACTGACAAAATCCTATTTTCTGCAGTTATTGGATTATTAAGTGCATGTAAATACACGCAATAACATTTGTGAGATAAACCATCAAATAATGTGTATTTGCACTGTTTTCAATTTTATACAGATCAAACAGAATTCACTAATCACTGCTTTTTGTTTTTATTTTTATTTTGTTTTTAAAAGCTATTTGCTTTTCACCTACTGTCCCAACTTCTTTTGGTATTGAGTTTGTACATTTGGCATCATGTGGGATCTAGACTAGTCTTCATATGTGGTGAGAAACATAATATCACTGCTTTGAGCTTTTATGTACAGAGAACATCACAGGCCCTGCCTTTCAGAATGAATTGTCCTCAGTGGTCAATGGTGTAGGGCAGGTGCTGCAATCAAGTGGAGCCATAGGGTTACTCTGTGGTCTCTGAGCCACCTTTGTGCATTTATTGAGGAATTCTTTTAGATCATTGTCCCGATAGAATTGTCAACAATGATTCCATTTGAAAGTAACAAAGTTTTTGTCTGGCAAGCATATCGAATAGCTTGTTTGTAGGGAGGAGGTGTGTTGTTTTTTTAGGACTTCGTGATACCGACTATATTATAATGCACAAGATAAAACTGTTTAAATGTAATTTGAGCTCTTTTCACGCCTGCTTAAATCCATTAGCTTCACACCAGTGATACTTGCGGATTCATTTTATATATATATATATATATATATATATATATATATATATGATATATAAAGCACAAAAGAGGGATGCCACAGTGACACACTTTGGTGCAGTCCTTGTGAGACTACTGGGTGTCTAGCTATGAATATTTGGCTGATAGCTTTCAGTGTGTTTGGAGGGAGACTGTTATACCAGTGAATATTCTGTTAAACTAGCATGGGCACAAGGTTTGTGTGGTTTGCATCTTTAAATGAAAAATCTTTTTGACGGTGCACTTCTGCACTTAGCTCAGCGGCTGTGTCCCTATCTCCTTTTTTGCTAACCAGTCAACAAAAAAGAAGTTCTTACATCAAAGTATAGGCTCGCCCCATCCAGTGGCATTAGTGTAGAGCGGGGTTTCTAAACCTGTGGGCCGCAGACCACCAGTGGGCCGTGAAGCACCCTGTAGTTGTCTGCAGTCTTGTACTCAGGGGGAGCTTGTACTCAGGGGGCCAGTAGAGACGTGTAAACAAAAACATTGCAGTCGCAGGCTAATTAAACATCATCAGTTTGAGACGACGCAGCCGCGGGAGTGCAGTGCAGAGTTAGTCAGAGATGGAGAGGTTCCTCGGGGCGCTACCTTGTTCGATGCGGACATATCAAACTTTAGTTCACTCCGTTTTGACATGAGTGAAAACTCCACCTGTTTTTGGGTCTGCATCAAACAGCTGAAACGGTCCAGCAAAACCCTTGGATCTCGGTCCGCTTCCGACCAAACCCCGTTCAGTTCACTGCTGGTGTGACGCATTTTATGATCAAATGAGGGAATTCGTCAATAGAGCTGGCTTTCTGTTTTTCCAGCAGCACATCTGCACTGAATACTGTCAATATAATCTGCCTGTTTTAACATCTGACGCTTTACGGACTCTCATTGAACTTTTATCATTCCTACAGCTCGAACTGCAGCTGATAAAAATGACAGACAAGCTTGAAAATAATGTCTGCTTTTGATTTTTGGCTGAGCATCAGCGACCTGAGTAGT